TCATTCTCATGGTTCTTTACATCATGACTAACGGGAAAATATGCCTAATATGAATGTATAAGTAGAGTCTATATCAGATTGCACACTGTCTAGCAGGGGGAGGAGAATGGGGAGGAGAAGTGGGAGGAGAAAACTTCAAATTCAAAATGTTATGGAAGTGAATGCTGAAAACTAAAAATAAGTTATCAAAAAATTAAATTTAATATTAGTTTTACTCACTCAGCATGTGTTATGTGGGAAGAAAAGCAATAGATATTAAGATGTACTCAAATGAGAAAAATTATATCCAAACGGGAATCATAGTGGTCAACATTTAGGGAAAAGTCAGCAGGGCCAAAATCAAAAGGGACATTGTTGTTGAATGCCTGGAAAAAGAAAGTGGATGAGGAATTGTAGAAACACACCCCAAGCCTGGCCTAGAGATGTGATACAGCAGCAATGCACAACTATGTGGCACAGTGGGTAAGAGTGTCAGGCCTGGCATCAAGAAGACTCAAGTTCAAATCCAGCTTCAGACACTTGCTAGCAGTGTGACCTTAGGTAAGTCACTTAAATTCTATCTACCTCAGTTTCCTCAATTGTAAAATAGGGACAATAATAGGACCTACCTCTGAGGGTTGTTGTGAAGATAAAAGAAGATATTTTTAAAGTGTTTTGAAAACCTTAAAGTGCTATATAAGTGTCAGCGATTTATTAAATTTAATCCAATTAAATTTAATTAATCTACTGGAGTTCTGTCATAAGCACAGCCACGCACATACTTTCTCAGCTTGCCTTAATGACTAAAGGTGAATGCATCAATGAGAAGAGTTGGAGCTTATTCTCACTAAAAGAGAAGTGGTGTAATGGAGCAGAAAGAATATTGCTTTTGGAGTTAGAGGACCTGGGTTTGAATCCTGACTATTACCTACTACCTGTGAAAAATTATGCAAATTACTTTACTCCTTTGGGTTTCATCATTTATAATATGAAGATGTACAGACTAAGTCAGTGGTCCCCAAAGTGGAATATACAAAGTGGAGTTCACTGGGGGGCTAGAAAAAAAAATTATAATTTCTATTTCTATTTAATTTTTTCTAAAAAAAATAAGCCTTAGTAATATTTAATACATGAATTGATGCTGGTGCTCTCTTCCATGTCAGGCAGTCATATGTCATATATGATATGTAAGATATCTTGAAGTAAGATTAAAAATTCTACAACTCAGGTTGATACTGGCACCCTCATGAATTCATTTGATTTCAAATTTTTGGTGACACACTACTGTTTCCATTTACCCAACTGGGTATGCTTATGGATCATGTTGTTTGGTTTTAACTAAATTAACACTAACAAAATGGCCGAGTGACTTAAAAAGAATCCTGAGAAAGAACCTCAGATTCACAACAGTATCATCTGGCACATAGCTTAAAACACAAGACAAGGGAGTAACAAAAAAAATTCCATAGCTGACATCTCTGCTCCAGTTAAGAACTCTTCTACTAGCTGTGTGACTGTGGGCAAGTCACTTAACCCCCATTGCCTCACCAAAAGAAAAAAAAGAACTCTTCAATAATCATATTACAAAATAAAAACAATAATACTCTAATCAGATACAACAATAAGTGACTCAATAAATATTTATTAAGCACTTAAACATTAGGGCTACAAAAAGGGGCAAAAGATAGTCTCAGCCCTCTAATAGCAATCAGAGGAAAAATGAAAGATTCCTAAGATTATTTGAAATATGGTTTCATATTTACTATAGTCAACTGTGAACCTCATCCTAAGTATATATCAAGCTTCTAGATACTAGCTAGTGATAGTATAAGACTATCAAAATTAACAAGATATTAAAAAAATAAGCTTTTTTTGTTCAAGATGATGTAAATGTGGTCACCTATAAAAATTCTCATATCTACACATTTTAAAAACTTGGAAATAACTTTTCCTAACCTATTTAAAAATGTTCCATACAGTTCCAGTGGGTTTTGAACCCGAATGTCAAAAATATAAAAATACATTGGGTATGGTGGTACATGAGTGTAATCTCTGCTACTGGGAAAAGCTGAGGCTGGTGGAATGCTTGAGTTTGAGAGTTCTGAGCTGCAGTAGGGTAGAAACCAATCTGGCAACAGCATTAATTTCAATACCAAAATGTTGAACTCCCACGTGGTGTAGGGGGTCCCTAAGCTGCCTAAGAAGGGGTGAATTGGCCCAGGTCAGAAATGAAGCAGATCAAAGCGTCTATGTGGGGCAGCTAGGTGGAGCAGTGGATAGAACACTGGCTCTTAAGTCAGAAGGACCCGAGTTCAAATTCGGCCTCGGACCAAACACTTAACACTTACTAGCTGTGTAACCCTGGGCAAGTCACTTAACCCCGACTGCCTTAAAAAAAAAAAAGCATCTACGTGATCAGCCTGTGGCTGTACTTCTAGACTACAACAGAGAAACCCAATCTCAAAAAAAAAAATTGTGTGTGTATGTAAATGTTATGTCTTTTGATCAGTTTCAATAACTGACTGACACTAGAAAAGATGGAAATTTACTAACTGTACTTTAACAAAAAACCTTTATATAATTTGTAAACGAGGCTAAAAAGGGAGTACTATGATTTGGCAAGTACAGTCAATGATACACTTGTTCCAGGTCAACCTATGTATCTTTGTGAGACCAAGCATCAAAATAAACAGACCTTGGAACTAGACATTCAACTCACTGTATCATTAATGCCTTAAATCAGGATTTTTCAAAATTAATGAAGCATATTCAATCACATTGCTTTCCCATTACTAATATTAATAAGAGCAAAAAAGGTTTTATACCATTAACAAAACGAAAATTTATTTAAAAATATTTTCTGTATGTCATCCTTTAGTTCCTATATTGTGTATGTTTATATATAACATTAGTGCAGTAGTACATGTATATAATTAACAAATACATACTGGAATGTGTATTAACTGATGGATGTATGATTTTAAAAAAAAGTATGGACACCACTAGATTGGATAATCACTACATCTGAGCCTATGCTCCTATGGACAAATGATGGAAATCTTGAGAAGTGACTATTTTATCTTAATCTGATGTGCACCCTAGATTTTGGGAGAGCAGATTTCAAAGGGCTCAGCACAGATGTTAAGAACCCATGGACTAAAAATGTACTGGGCAAATCAGCCCAATGGGATCATGCTCTTGAGAATGAAATTCTGAAGACAGAAAGAGAAACAGTTACAATGAAGAGAAAAACAGGGAGTTATACAGTGTCAGTCAACAAGTATTTATTAAACATGTTGCCATGTGCCAAACACCATGCTAGGATCTGCGAATACAAAGTTCAAAACAAGGCCCCTGCCCACAAAGAGCGCACATTCTAAATGAGAGAGGCGACACACAAACAACTAAGAACATACACAATACACACAGTAAAAATGGAAGATAATCTTGGTGGGGTGTGGGGGTGTGGTCGGGGTGGGGACAACAAGTGTGAGCAAGCCTGAAGCCAGAAGGTGGAGGTGAGGAAGGAGTGCATTCCAGCTACAGAGGACAACCAATGCAAATGGAGTGTTGTGTTTGAAAAACAGCAAGCAGACCGTATAGCAGGGTCACAGAGTACAAGGGAGTGACGTGTATGTTTGATCCTAGGAGTGAGAGAGTGAGAGAGAGAGAGAGAGAGAGAGAGAGAGAGAGAGAGAGAGAGAGAGAGAGAGAGAGAGAGATAAAGAGTGAGTGTGTGTGAGAGACAGAAAGACAGAGAGATAGTGAGTGAGAGAGAGTGTGTGTGTGTGTGTGTGTGTGTGTGTGTGTGTGTGTGTGTGTGTGTGTGTGTGTGTGAGACACAATCAAGCCTGTACTTTAGTAAACAACTTTCGTACCTTACAGGGGGATGGACTGGTGAGGGGACTCAAAGCAGGCAGACCAACCAGCAGGCTACCACAATAGTCCAGGCACAAGGGAATGAAGGCCTGCACCAAGGTAGGCACATGAGTGTAGTGAAGGGGATGTATACAGGAGAGATCATGAAATCAATGAGAGTGCAATTCAAATCAATTTAGCAAGCATTTATTAAGTTCCTACTATGTCCCAAGCACTGTACTGGGCATGAAGAATACAAAGACAAAATGAAAACAGTTTCAAGAAGCTTACAGTCAACTGGAAAGCAATGCATCAACCAAACTAAGCTTTAATGAGACCAATGGAAAAGATGGCAGCACCAGTAGGTAATGGGAAATAAATAAGAAAAAAAAAAGCGGCATGATCCTATAAAAATATCAGTAGTGCTGAAGCTCAGAATGAATTAAGGCTGGCAAGGAAATCAAAACATGATTTAAAAAAACACTTTTTAAAGCTATGATGCAGGGGAGGATAAAAGACAAGACTGGACAGTTGTTTGGGGGTATATGGAATGATAATAATGGATGGTGGAAAGAAGGTTCAGTAACAACTTTTTTGCTTCTGTAATAAAAATACTAGCATTTATATATCACTTTAAGGTTTACAAAGCACTTTACAAATATCTGATTTTATTCTCACAGCAACTCTTCGTGGTAGGTACTATAATTGACCACATTTTACAGATGAGGAAACTGAGGCAAACAGAGATTAAGTGACTTATGTAGGTGAGTGCCCTTTAGGCTGGAGACAAAATGAACAGAACAAAAATGGCTAATACGTTGTTGATCAGTAGGAATTTAGTAATATCCATGATAAGTAACGAGAGGTAGTGTTGCTAAGTGGAAAGACAGCTAGCCTCTCTGAGGCAGAAGATCTGGGTTTAAGCCCTGTCTTGATCCGTACTGATTATATGACCCACACAAATCACTTAAACTCTCAGTACCACCAGAAGACCTTTTAAAACCACAGACTTCAATAAAGTACAAAGTTGAATTAGTCAATCAATCAAAAGGCATTTATTAAGAGCACTTACTATATTCCAGTCATTGTGCTAGGCACTGGAGATACAAAGACAAAAATGAAACAGTCTCTGCCCTCGAGGAGCTTACATTCTATAAGGGAAGAAGAACAATTACATATATAAGTATGTACAAAACAGATACAGAATATTGGGGGGGGGAGGTATAGAATGTGCTGGGGAAGAGAGGATGAGAGAAGACCTCATGTAGAAAGAAGATGATACCTGAGCTGAGTCTTTGAAAACTACAGATTCTAAGCAGAACTGAGAAGCGAGGGCAATTACAGACAAAGTGCTTCACTGGGAGTTCCCTACACCAGGAAAATCATAGGGGCAGTCCAAAATAAAAAGGAAGAGGACAAGAAAGCAAACTCTTAGCTCCCCTAAGTGAATTTATATCCTCAGGCCCAGATGAAATGCAACTCAAGAACTGGTCGATATTGTTCATCAGCCAGTCACTGACCTATGAAAGGCCTTTGAGAAAGAAAAAGGCAAAACAAGTTGGAAGAAGGACAAATGTTGCCCCAGTGTTTTAAAAGAAGGGAAGGGAATAGAGTCTTTAAACTATAGGTCAGTAAGACTGAGAGATTCTTGGCAACACTTGAGAACTAGGAAGCAGTGATCACAAAGAGCCAGTACAGCTGCTTCAAGGAAAAGTCTTGCCAAATTAACCTCGTTCCCTTTTGACAAGAATACTTGAGCGATAGGTCAGGGCCCATAGTAGAGATAGATGTGATGTTTAAAAAGTTCAAGAGATATAGTTGGAGTAACTAGTCATTTTATTAATAATGTCAGCATTTTGATAAAAGGAGTTCATTGATACTCCCGAATGCTAAAGACAATCATGGCAGCAGAATCATGGCCTATATGCCCTTGGAAGAGGGGTGTTCCTGAGGGTGGCAATCAACTCTAATAAACCTTGATTATATCACTTACTTCTAAGTTACTCCCAGCCCTGGGTAATCTATTCAAAGAATTTATATCCCCACCAAGCCTGAGCTAGCTGGGTGAAGTAGCAATTACTCAGAACAAGAAGCATGCTAAGCCTCTCTTTCATCAGCTCGTCCTAGAAAGATTGAACAAGGAAATAGGACAGGAAAAATTTTAATAATTGGCTATTAATATGAGAGAGAAATAATCATTTCTCTCATAGAGTTTATCTAGATTTAAGTAAAATATCTGACAGTCTCTCATGCTATTCTTATGAAAAGGATAGAAATATATGGCCTAACGAGCAATGCAGTTAGCGGGATTCAAAGCTGGTTAAGAGTTATTATTAATGGTTCAATGTTAACTTGGAAGGAAGTCTCAAAAGGAGTGCCACGGGGATCCATTTGTGCTTGGCCCTGTGCTCTGCAACATTTTTATTAGTAACCTAGATAAAGGCATAGTTCAATTCAATAATTGCTTATCAAACACCTACTACGCAGCAGACATTGTGCTAGGTGTTGGGGATAAAAGGTAAAACTAAAACAGTCCCTGACCTCCAGGAGCTTACATTGCGTAACAGCTGGTGTACTTATCCAATTGTAGATGTCTCAAAGCTGGGAGGGGCTGTTGACAGGCTAGCCCACATTAAAGAAGCAAAAAGATCTCGGAGGGCTGGAATGCTAGGCCTGGTCAAATAAGACTAAAACTAATAGGGATAAGTGCGAAGTCTTACACTTGGGTTCCAAAAACCAACTGTGCAAGGACAAGATGAGAAGGTATATTTAGGCAGGAGTCTGTCTAAAAAATATCTGGAGATTTTAGCAGACTGCAAGCTCAGCTGAAAAAAAGACCCAGATCTGATCTAAGGTTTCATTTTAAGAAAGTACAGAATCTAGGATTAGGGAGGTCATGGTGTCCTGCTTTACTTTCTCCTGGTTAGACCACATCTGTAGTACTATGGCCCACTCTGAGCACCAAGCAATTGATAAAGGTCCCCAAGATCATGCCAGAAAAGAACTGAATGAAGAAAGGGAGACATTTTGCCTGAAGAGACAATTTGAAGATGGCAGGGTAAACGGAGGGATGGAGGGGAAATGACCACCATCTTCATATACTAGGAAAGCTGTCCCATGACTTACTCTGCTTGGCTTTGAAAGGCTGGGATGGGAGTGGTGGTAGATATAGGACCTAGAAGCTACAGAGAAACAAATTTAGAAGCACTGTAAGTGAAAACTTCCTAACAATCAGAGCTACACAAATGTGAAAGAAGCTGCTTTATGAAATAGTGCTACCCCTCAAAGGAGAGAGATCTTCATATAAGGGTGGATAAATGTCGGGTATTCTTGTTTATATATGGATTGGACTAGTTGGCCTCTGAGACCTCATCTGATTTAAAAGGACAAACATTTACTGGCTAAGATACTGTCCTAGGAATGGGGGGACAAAAAGTCAAATGAAAAAAGTCCCTGTTCTCAAGACTTAGGGGCAGGGCAAGACAGGGCCAATAACTCAGCTACAATATGTGTACATTGATGTGTATACATATAATAATTCTAGCAGGAAGGCAAGAATAATAACAACTATGGAGATCAGAGAAGAATTCTAACAAGATGGCATCTGACCTAATCTCAGAAGGAAGTGAGGGAATTCTAAGAGACAGAGTTGAGGAGGAAGAGCATTCCAGGAGCAGATGGAAAGGCACTGAGATAGGAGTTTCCATGACAATGTGAAGTTTGCTATTTCAACCAAGTTGAATCTCTCTTGGATAACTGAGGGCTTTACCATGCTTCAGGGTTATCATTCTTAACATGAACTGAACTATAACACCAAGTATTGAAGACTGTGCAAGGAACTGGACTAAATCTGCATTGCACTGAGCCTAGGACAGAGACCAGAAATGTTTTTCTAGACTAAATAAATTCCTGATAGCAGCTTGGTGTTTTTTTTTGATGCTTTCATCAAAATATGCAATGAGCCCCCCAAAAGTCCTGAAGACTCCAGTTATCTGGAATGTAAAACAAAAGCCATTAAAAATAACTCCCACATAAACAGGCACCTTTAAGGACTGAGGAACAGATCCAACCACTTTGGAAAAGCAATCTGTAATTATGCAAGAGAAAGACACAAAAATATTCACAGTAGCACTACTTGTAACAGAAAAAAGTTAGAAATGAATTGTAAGCCCAACAAGTTGGGAAGAGCTGAACAAACTAGAGCATATAAATAAGATGTAATAAGTATTACTGTGCCATAATGAATGATGAATACGAAAAGCTTAAAGAAATACATGAAGACTCAAACAAAGTAATGCACAATTAAGAAAACATAAAGAAGGGGCAGCTAGGTGGGGCAGTGGATAGAGCACTGGCCCTGGAGTCAGGAGGACCTGAGTTCAAATCAGGCCTCAGGCACATAACACTCACTAGCTATGTGACTCTGGGCAAGTCACTTAACCCCAATTGCCTCACCAACAACAAAACAAAACAAAACAACCACAACAACAACAAAAAAAAACCATGAAGAAACCAGTAACAGATAATGACTACAACTAGTTGAATGAATACAATTTTAAATCTGAAGTCTGGGCCTCCGATTCCATCAGCATGAGTAATTTTGTAATTTCCCCATGTGGAAACATTAGTAAAATTATAACTCACACCCTTCCTTTCTTTTACCAAACAGTAAATTATTAACACATAAGGCTTCAGAGACTATTCATCATAGTCATTTTCATGTTATTTTAACTTGTATAAACTTGTTGGGGTTTATATATACTATCACAAAATGTGCCCTGAAAAAACCCATCTGTAGTGGTGAAGAAAAAGAAAATAAAGTGATGTATTAGTTACCTTTTGTGCTGCCCAAACTGTACCATCTATGGTAGTGACTTGGACATCTTCCCCAGAGTAGTCAATGGTCCGAACCTGTTCGAAAGAAACAATTATGCAAAGACAAATCACTGGGCCCTGAGATTTGCAAGGCTTTTTAAAAAATGAATTCCAATTACTTCAGAGTAGCTGCAGCTACCTAATTAGGAAGGATACTGATACTAGCCACAGCCTAACAGAATGTATACAAAATACTTCCATGGAAAAACATGCCAATACCCACAAGCAGGCACTGTGAAAACAATTAAGTTTTCTATTGCCTCCCAATCCCTAAACTCCACCTGCCCTGGAAACAAATTAAATTCAACCCAAAAGTGATCTACTTTTGCTAATACTCACTGGAAATTTAAGTCGAATGTCCAGTCCTTCAGCCAGCTTCTCAATTATTACAGAATACCCTGGAGTCAGAAGCGTGTGATCACCAGCAAACTGAGCAAAGAACTCATTGTGGTCCCACGAGCGAGCAGACACCTGTGGAATGTAGGTGAGGCAATTAACACATAGGACTATGTGAGTCAACGTAGCCACAGCTGGCAAATCCTGAAAGGAATTCATGATGGAGAAACACATGCAAAGCACCATGTAGACTAACGAAAAAGTGGACAGGGCAGGTTACAAGCCCATAAAGATTTTCATATCCTTGATTATTCTGAAAACTCTGCTTTTTTTAAATGTTATTTTTTAGGTCACGGGTCACATCAGCATAAGCTAACATTCATAAGAAATAAAAGACGTAGTGAAGTCATGAGACACATCCACTTCATCTGAGCACTTAAATCTTGTGATAAAAATCAGTCCATATTTGCTTTGGTCTTTTCAGATTTTGATCCTAGCCTTATAGAACTTGTTCCTGGGTAAATGGGGGATTTTAAGAGCTAATCTGGATCCAGCGGGACTCAAATATAAAATATATCTACTCTTTGGCTCAAGTTCACATCCAACTCTGTTAGTTAACTTTTTTTTTTTTGGTGAGGCAATCAGGGTTAAGTGACTTGTCCAGAGTCACACAGCTAGTAAGTGTCAAGTGTCCAAGGCTGGATTTGAACTCAGGTCCTCCTGACTCTAAGGCCAGTGCCCTACGCACTTTGCCATCTAGCTGCCCTTACATCCAATTCTGAAAAGGTCAAAACAAGTATGAAATTACAAGGTGGGATGATCTCAATCACAATATTTAAATTGGACAGAAGAGGAGAAAATAAAACTAATAAAGCAGACGGAGTTCATGATTAGGTTAGGGTAGAAGACATCTTAGGTCTGTTCCAAGGGCTACGATTCTATAAAAACAACATGTCATTAATGGAACTGATATTCAGGATGCAGATTTTGATTAATAATGTTCTACTCATGTTGATAATTTTAGTGCTGCATTCTAGGTCACAGCAACAAGTGCAACTAAATACCTGCTACCTTTAAAACACTTTGTCCAAGAATTTTATAGTACATTTTGCATATAAGGATAAACAATGATGTATGATTTCTTTTAAAAAGAAAATTAAATCAAAATAGCGCAACATTCAAATGTATTAGTTCTTTTGGAAAGTATCAGTTGCTTTGCATATTGTTAACTCAGAGTAAACAATGAAGGTAAATTTGTAAGAGATATTACAAAAGAGATCAATGTAAGGTTGTAACTTGGTATAATGGAAAGAATACTGCTGGCATTGGCATCAGATACCTGGATTCGAATCCCAGCTCTTAAACTCAATAGTTATGACCTAATAAGTTACCCACATTTCCACTTATAAAATGGGGATGATAATAAACCCATATTATCTACATTCATAGGTTTGTTGTGAGGAGAGCACTTTGTAAACCTTAACATGCTATAGAAATTATATAGGTGAGTATAAATAATAACATATATGTCTATGTATATACATGTATGTATATACACACATAATCTGTGTGTATACACACATATGTAGTAGACAGATGGCCAAGCTTAGATTCATGAAGACCTAAGCTCAAGTCCCGACTTTGACACACATTTCCCCAAGTGACCATAGCAAATCACTTAACCTCTCAAAGCAAGAAGCAACTTTAGGTTAGCAAGAAGCTGCCAATGAGTATTGGTAAAAAAAATTCTGAATACCTAGTATTCTTCAAACCAATGAAATAACAGGTCTAGGTTAAAACATACAAGCATATTAAACATATGTGGTTATATGAATATACAGCTATATGTATATACACATACAGAAACTTTGACTAATGTCCTAAAACAACTATAAGAAAATTAATTATATTTGTAATTATATGCATATAGTTATATTTATATTTGTACTAAAAATTAGAACCACTGACTTTTTAAACTCATGGCTCGTAACTTCATTATAATCACTAGGGGATCTCAGTAAGAGATTTCTTACAGTTCTGTTTTGTTATGTAGATACAGATTATAACTCATCCACACCATCTCATCCTAGGGCTTGAATTTCATAAACACATCTTAACTGAGTACATCTTATATTTCCTTACAGAGTCTCAGTTTCAAGCTAACAAACTGTTCTCCTTCACAGCAGAACCATAAACAGACCTCCATGAATATATTTGCTAATAGTTATTTTCTACCTGATTTTGAAGCAGCTAGGTTATGCTGTGGATAGAGTGCCTGGCCTAGAAAAAGTTCAAATCTAGCCTTAGACACTTACTGGGCTGTGTGATCCTAGGCAAGTCACTTAATCCTGTTTGCCTCAGTTCCTCATCTGTAAAATGAGCTGGAGAAGGAAATGGCAAACCAGTCCAGTACCTTTGTCAAGAAAACCCAAATATGGTCACAAAGAGTCATGACTGAAAACAACTGAACAACAACAAAACTTTGATCTTGAGTTCAGGTTGATCCAATTTTATAAAAAGGAAGATCTTAAGTTGGGGGGAGGGAAGGTAAGAAGGGGAAAGCCCAGGCCTGTGATTTTACTGATGTAAGAAGTTCCAAACGAGTAAACTACTTCTACTAAAGCAGATTAGGAACTATCCGGAAATGTGTAGTCTTAGGAAGCTGCCTGTGTCGCCGGCAAGTTAAGTTATTTGTCAGGGGAGATACTTGAAGCCGTGTGACTCTGACTCAGAAGCTCTCTAATCTCCCTTCCATGCTGCCTCTGAGTCTGGCCAACTCCCACTTGTTATAAGCCCAAACCCACCTGATTCAGGTTGCTGCCACATGCATATTCCAAGTTACTCAGATGGAACTGAAGCACTTGCTCCTCTAGCTCACTGAACTGGACGCCAGATTCCTGAATAAAAGCCTTGTAGATTTCCTGGATTTTTTCTGTAATTAGAGATACAAAGGAAAGAGAACTTTTAAATTTTATTATCCAATTGCTCAGGTTCTCCTCCTGACTGAACTGAGGCACACTTCACTCTACAAAAGGGAAAAATGGTGTTCTTTAGAAGGTACACATGTAACAAGTTTTCATTTCCTGAGAAATTTAACAAAAAATTTTAAATCATTTTATTTATTTCATTAAATATTTACCAATTATATGTAAAAAAAAATTTTAACTATCTTTTTTTTAAGGCAATTGGGGTTAAGTGACTTGCCCAGGGTCACACAGTAGTAAGTTCAAGTGTTTGGTCCGAGGCCAGATTTGAACTCAGGTCCTTCTAACCTATCCTCTGAGCCACCTAGCTGCCCCTTTTAACAATCTTTTTTAAAAATTTTGAGTTCCAAATTCTCTCCCTCTCTCCCTCCTCGAGAAGCAAGCACTCTGATTTCAGTTATACATGTAAAGTCATGCCGAACATATTTCCATGTTAGTCATGTTGCAAAAGAAAACACAAACAAAATAAAACAAGAAAAACAGTAGAAAAAAGTATGCTTCAACCTGCATTCAGAGTTCATCAGTTCTCTCTCTAGAAGAGGACAGCATTTTTCATCATGGGTTTGGGATTGTTTTGGATCACTGTACTGATTAGATTAGCTAAGTCTTTTATAGTAGACATTCCTTACAATATTGCAGTTACCGTGTATAATGTTCTGATTCTACTTACTTCACTTTGTATCAATTCATTTAAGTCTTCTCAGGTTTTTCTGAGCCTTAGCCTACCTTTTAATTTCATTCAGATACCTTTCAATTCCTTCATTATCTATTCCCATTGTCTGTTCAATCTCTTAGACATTCCAATCTCTGGGAATTCTCACCCAGACCCTTCCCTGGTCACCCAAAGTATGTAAGATCTACCCTGGCCATCATTTGGGGCTGAGAATCTCAAGCCCACAAGGCTGAGAACCTCTCATGCTCACTCGTCTTTACAGGCGTCACCTGGCCTATGTGTGTTATCACTAATAAACTTTTCCTCTGGCTAGGGAAAAAAAAAGTCTTCTCAGGTTTTTCTGATACTATCCCCCTTCCTCATTTCTTATAGCACAATAGTATTCCATCACAATCATACACCACAATTATTCAGCCATTCCCGAACTGATGGGCATCCCCTCAATTTCCAATTCTTTGCCACCACGAAGAGAGCTGCTATTAATATATTTGTACACAGAGGTCCTTTTCCTTTTTTTTTTTTTATCTCTTTGGGAGGCAGAATTGTAGTGGTGTTAATAGGTCAAAGGGTATGCAGTTTTATAGCCCTTTGGACCTAGTTCCAATTGTTCTTCAGAATGGCTGGAGCAGTTCACAACTTCACCAATACTGCATTAGTGCACCTATTTTTCCACATCCTCTCCAGCATTTATCAACTTCCTTTTCTATCATATTAGCCAACTTCTGGGTATTTTAAAAGTTCGGAAACAGATAATTAATTCATTTCAATAAGATTTCTATGGCAAATAGTGTGCTGCACTGGGTATTCAAAGACAAAAATTAAATAGTCCCTACCCTCAAGGAATTTATATTCCATTCAGAAAAACAATATATAAAATATATATGGTCATTTATAAAGAACACCTGGTTAATATGCATAAAAGTTTCAAATTCTTGAATAAAAAATGCAAATATCCAATACCATTTATACATCATCATCAAAGAAAAGAGACTCAAACCAGCTATTGTAAGAACTAAGTATTGAGAAGACTCATCTCCCTCATACCTCCTAGAGGAACATCTTGTAGCTGGGTTTTATCTTTCCTCCACTCAGAAACAACATCCAAAATGGCATTAAAGTGGAAGTCCATGCGCTTATCAATAGTGGGGTCAGTGATTCTTCCACTTTCCTGGATCAAGTCACATCTTTCTCCAAGTTTGTGCATTTGAATGCCAAGCTTCAAAATAATGAGAATGAAAAGATGGACATTTTTCTTGGAAAAAAAATTATCATCTTAAATCACAAAACAAAAAAAAATTCCTAACATCCCAACACTTTGTTACAAATTAGAAGAACCCAGTTCTATAGTTTCTACTTAGAGATGGTAAATCTCTGTTAAGACCTGTTTTAATTTATTCTTTTATAAAACTAAAAATTATAAATACTATACACTCAAAACAAACAATAACTATATGGCATTATTTACTGAGAGGACTCAAAGAGAAAGCAAAAATATTTTAAAGTCACATTCAAAGATCTCAGCTAACCAAGGGCTTCTGGTGAAGTCAATTTGAGTGTTAGACATACATGGCTCTCTTATCCTTTGTAACACTACAGTTACAATTGGTGTAGCCTTCTACACTTAGGGTTACATTCACACACCAAGGCATGACACACCAATCAGAAAAAAAGTGGGAATACTTCCTATTGTCCACAGTTGAGAGCATCGAGAGCATCCAGGTGCTTCTGAACTCCTGTATGTATGATTTTATGAATTGCTTTCATTCTGCTACTATCTCAACACGATAAGGAATAGCCAAAAATTGTCAGGTTGAGGAAAATACTTAGAGAAATATGGCACAGTTGTATAATGGAAAGAGTATAGCCCGGAATTAGGAGAACTGGTCCTCGCCTTGATTCTATCACTAATTGGCTGACCATTGGCAAGTCATTTAAGACCTTCAGCCCTCAGTTTCTTCATCTGTAAAATGAGGAGGTTGAACCAGATACTATGAGTTCCCTTTAGGCTCAAGCAGTCTATGATTCTATAAAAAAATTTAAAAAATAACATTAGGGTCACAGTACAGCATCACTTCCTATGGCTCTTTAGTAGCTCACATTCATATCATGCTTTAGGATTCACAACGTGCTTTATGTACATACCACCATTTGATCCTTATAACAAGCCTGTGTTTATGCTGTTATTAGACCCTCAGTTCACAGATAAAGAAACAAACTGAAACAGTGTCTTTTTTTTTTTAATAGTGTCTTGCTGTGAACCAAACAGCTAGGAAATGTTTAAGGTAGGGTACAAATCTAGATCTTTCTGGCTTCAAGTCCAATGCTCTGGTCATTACACCATGCCGTTTAATCAATATTAACTGATGCTAAATCAATTTTCTCTCACTGCCTTTACATTCTTATTCTTCCTCTCTCTGTCTCTCTCTCTCTCCCCCTCCCCTGACCTTTTCATGTTCTTTTACCTTCTCTCTCTCACCCCTTCCTCTCATATATACATAAACACACACTAAAGTTCAAAGTTAACAGACTAATATGTAAGGACATATTCTTTCTAGCTCTTCCAAAGGAACTTGAGGTAGCCTTCAAAGATACTAAAGATCTTGAAAAATGAAAAGTTCTTTTAGGTTCATCCACTCCGGACAGCATCACAAATACTCCTTTTTTAAATACTAGGAGGGAAAAAAATACATTATTTCAGTGATCACAGTTTGCTTCCATGTAATGGAAAATAAAGCCATACACAAAAGATTCCTGAAATACTATTCTTTCCCTTAGTTATAGTACAGCTCTCTTAGAGAAACCCACTTGCTCACACATTAGGGCTATAGGGTTGTTTATACAGCCATTGACAATCTGAGCTCCTCTTCCAACTGTGACTCCTTTAAAGGATTTGTCATCCCAGACTCGTCCACCAATCCTGTCTTTGGCCTCTAGGACGATCACCTGCACAGACACACAATTCAGGTAGCAAAAAATGATGACATTATCATTGTTGATGCAGTCTGTTCTCTCTGTGCTCCCCAGCCCACCACCCTAGCCTCCCTCCTAGTACAAGGTTCCACAGCTGACGGTAAAGAAGTTCAGTAACGTTGCTCATCAGTTAGCATTCTGTTATTGGTAAAGAAAGGACTTGAAAATGAAAGCAGTTTCACCTAGCAGAAAAAAAAAATCCTGTTTCTAGTTCTGAGAAAACCAAAAAGCCTGGAACAAATCAATCAACTACTCACTGTTTCAGGTTTTTCCCCTATGATATCCCTTTTAATTCAATTCCTAGGCATAATATGAAGGTTGACAAGAGGAAAAATGAAATGAATTTGAAGGGCCTCTCAAAACACTACAACACTACCCTTTTATTCATATATACTATTATTAAAGCTTATTTTTTCAAGGTACAATTTTTCCAATGGAATGTTAACTTATTCAGCTTAGTTTTCATTTACATTCTGCTTCAACTTTCTCAAAGTTTAACCAGCTTAAGATACTAGTATTTCTAAACAGTTTTATGTAATACTAATATAATAAGGACGACTGACATTTGCCATCCCTTCATAAATTTACATATATCAGACTATTTCTCCAAAAGGTTCCACCAGGTGAAAAGTAGTGACTAGACTATGGTATTGGAATCCAAATGATTTAGGCTTTTCATTGTGTAGATTAGCTGACATCAGCACATTTTTCCCTACCCTGTTTCCTCTTTTCTATTTAGCAACAAGAACTTCTTGCTAGGTTCTCTTTCCTTTAAGGATTCCAATCTCAGATGTTTGTGTGGTTCTTAAACTGCTCAGGACCATCCACACCACTAAAAATGCTTATAAAGTTTATTGGTTCCTCTGTAAGGGTTCTTAACCTAGGATTCAGGAAATTGCTTTAAAAAAAAACTTAACTGTATTTCACTATAACTAGTTTTCTTTGTAATCCTGTTTATTTTTGTTATATTCATTTAAAAATCTTATTCTGAGAAAGGGATGCACAAGCTTCACTAGACTGCCAAAAAAAGTTAAGAATCTCTACTCAACAGATAGACTTGCTCTATGAAATCTTTTCCCTCAAAACTAGAATGAGTTCTTACTTCAGCAGATTTCTTCCTTATCCCCAAATACATAGTTTGGCAAAGTAATGAAAATCTTTTACGATGGATACCTCTTGGCCCATATCTTGACATTTTCCCCCCTGAGAGTAGACAATTCATGTTGCCCCACCTTCTTTGCTCACCACAAAAACATGTTTCTAGTCTCATGTCCTCTGCCCTGATAATTATGGGTATAGACATCACTCAGGTATCTATCATACCTACTTTATATAGACCCCTTTAAACTCATGACTCCATGGAAATATGAAAAGCATGGACTTCAAAAGGTTGTCTCCCAAGATCTAGGGTCTAGATGTCTCTTCCTCAAATATAAGCAGGTCTGAGTAAATTAGGAAAACTGAAGACCCAGGAGCTAAAATTCCCCAAACCATTCATTCTCACAATGAGATTTTTTTTTAAAGCAACACACTTCCTACCTGAGTCCAATACTGACCTTTCTATGCCAGCTACAACATGCTTTAAAGAATGGTATTCAGTTTAAGCAAGGAAAAGTCTCCTAACCATATTTATGCATGTTTTTTTTCTCTCTTAACCTCACAAGAAAAAAAACAAATGGGGAAATAAATCTTTCAATCTGGCAACGATCTTTAGGCAAGGAATAGAATATCAAAGCAAAGTATTTGTTTCTCTTAAAGCTGAGTGTTCTTTACAACAATAGCCTTTCAACAAACATTTATTATGTGCCTACTGTGTTGCTAGGTGTGCTGAGATTTTCCCTCATGGGCCTTATAGTCTAAAATGTGGCTACCGTATAGACATGAAGAGATAACTTGTTAAGATAAAATAAGTTAGAAGTGCATTAAAGAGTTGCAAACCCAAGTGTTATGTGAGGTTAAAGGGAAAAACATTGTTATTGACTCTAGGAAGGAGATAGACACTAGTAACAGCTTTAAGAACATGGTATCTGATTTTGGTTTTTAAGGATGGGTAGGAATTAAACAGGTGAAAGGGAAGGAGGAAATTACAAGCATAGGGAACAGTAAAGGAAAAGGCAGAGAGGTCAACTGGAACTAAGCCTAGCGCACTAACCGCTATGGCATAATGCCTCTAATGCCTCTAGAAGTGAAAATATTTCTTTAAAATTATGACAATTTTTATTTCTCATAAACCCTATTTTGATAATTAGATCCACCTTATATAGTGTATCTTTATTGGGATTAAGCAGTTGTCAATATTGCAATATTTACATTCTCCATACAGTAGAAGGGAACAAACCTCTAATGCCCTCAGAAAAAGCAGTCAAAAGGCCACGTTATCCTCCAGATATTTCTAGCACTGTATTTTAAGAGTTCCTTACCTTAATTCCAAAGTTGTGCAACTGCCTAGCAGCTGCTAATCCTGAAGGACCAGCCCCAACAATGATAACTGATTTCTTTAAAAAAAGAAAAAGAAAAAATTCAAAAAAACTGTACAATTACAGACTGAAAATACTGCTACACAGTTCATTCACCTTCATCTTCTGTAATCTCTCATAAATCTATCTTCCTTTTGCAAATGCTATTTTATACTTTTCTGTTAACCACTCCCTCCTCTACCCTCCCACTTAGGGTTGGAGAAATGATGCTTGCCATTTTCTTCTCTGAAGGGATTACTCATTCCATGTTGTTCTTTGTAGCAGACATACTTAACTTTTCTCCAAGATCCATGTGACCTATCAATGCTACTATTAGTAGTAGTACATTAGTAATATTTATCATCATTTGTATTATAATTACAAACTTAAATAGTACTTTAAGGTTTTTAAAGTGCTTTACAAAGATTCTCTCACTGGATCCTCCAAACAACCCAGTAAGGCAGTTGTTACAGTCATTATCATCCCCATTTTACAGATGAAGAAACTGAGCTTTAGAGCAGCTAAGTGACTATTAGCAGAGGTGGTATTGTTATAAACTATAGTCACCTACATTGTGGTAGTCTTTTGGGAGAAGATGATGGTCACGGCTGACAGACAAAACCCCAGTATTGATCAGACCTTTTCTTGTCATAAAATAAAGTATCCTCTCCGCTTCCTGAACACATCTAATGCGCACAAGGCCTCGGACGATAATGTGATGAGTGCATTTCTGAGGGGTAAGTGCTTCCTGCATTGTAGAACAAAATAAAATTGTTAAATCAATTAAATATTTCATGATAGTGAATACCCATTAGTTATCAGCCAGCGAGTAAGAATAAACAGATACAGGAGTTTGTATTTTATCACAAAAAATTCCCAAACCCTCATAATTCTTTTCCTCCAAAAAAACCAAAACAAAACAAAAAAATGATCACTGTATGTGGTATAGGGCCTAAAAGCATATTACGTCCCTGATTCCCTGAACTATTTAGTTTTTAAAAAGTCACCACAGAAATTATTGGCTGCCTATCTTCAGAAGGAGCATTTAAACTTGTGCCCATGTGAAATAAGAAACACAAAGACATCTGTGGGCTATGGGATCTGCTCTTAGTGAAAGTGTAGTCAGAACTAACCACCAATGAGAATCCAAAAGCATTTTTCAAAAGCAGAATGTGGAGATGATATACTTGGACACTGCTGTCCTTCCTCCTACTTCATCATTTTGGTAGATAACATGGTCCCTCAAAATTCTAGAGAAAAATGAGAGGTAGTATGGCATGGTGGGTTAGGGGAGTGACCTGGGAGTAAAGATCTACACAGGTTCAATTTCTGGCTGTAGTATACACTAACTATGTGACCTGGAGTTAGTCACAATCTCTCAGTGCCTCCAGGCAACTGCCTCCAACTTTCTCCTATTTCTCTCTACTTTTTTCTTTATCATTCCTCCTCCTCCCAAATCCCTCTGATAGCAGATCATGAGCAAGGACAAGAGGAAGGGTAGAGGTGTCTTAACTGCATGGAAAGATGTGGCAAAGTAGGCTTGGGATTGGTTATAGAAGATGGGTAAAAAGTATAGTCACTTGAAAACTGTGTTGAGCAAATTTTTTAAAATATTTAAAAGTCCTAAAAGTGTCTTTAGTTCATCATCATTATCATGGGATATTTCTATTATGGGCCACCAGGCAGGTATAGCAGAATCTCCTCATTCAAAACACACAGCCAATCTGAAAAGCTCAGAACACTTTCAAGAGATTTTTCTTTCATAATGAAATAGGAGGAAAACATCAATGAACAAGTATATTGAATCTAAATGCCCAAAAACAAGGAAAAAAATCAAGCAGATATTTTAATAGGTGGTCAAAACACTACCTGAAGATATTCATTAAAAAATGAAAAATGGAAAAAAAGATACAATTGAACATGCACACCTCCATTATACCTATATAAAAACATGTGCGTGAACATTAATGATGAACTAACGTACAGTAAACTTTAATGCTCATTAGAAGTTCTTTTCCTGTAAACTGCATAAGTTCCTAAACAGTTCATTCTGACCACTCACACACTGGACAAGAATTACATATGTCTATGTTGTTTAAAGAGCCTAAATTAGTGTAGATTCAGTATAACAACCATAACATAATTGTATTATTCCGATAATTTCTGAAGTCATTTGTGTGGTCAAGAGATATTCCAACAAGACCACTGGAGTGCTCATTATCAAGATTACATTTAGGAGGAGAAAAATCTGACGAAGTCAACAATTCCAGCCTTTTTAAAAAGTTTATAGTCCCTCCTATTTAGTTTCACAGCCTTCTTATGAGATTTTCTCAGTTTTGCAGATTAAAAGCTGATGTCCCAAAAGATCATGTTACTTACCCAAGGTCAGACAGAGCTATGATTAGACTCTTGGGCTCCCATCTCCCTTTCTTGTGTCCTCACCACTATATAATGCTGCCTCTAGGACTATCTGAGGAGTGGGGACCATGTTTCCTACTTCTACTGTAACTTGCAAAGTAGGATCCTACACCTTGTAGATGTCTCCCTTATTCAATGACCAGTCGAGCTTTCCTCTTAAAGAATCCAAAGGTCCATGTAGAGATAGCATCAACTTTCCTTAGACATACACAATCCACACCACATACACATATGGATATATGGCTACAGATATAAGCATAAATATATATGTAATATGTACTTTCATATATATGCACACACATACATATATCTATGCATGTTTACATATACATACACACATATATACACATATCCATGAACATGTGTGTGCAGAAACACATACACCTTATATCAGTGTGTATATGTGTTCTAACTGCACTGTATAATGCCAATCTTGCTTACTTTGCAATTAGTATACCACAGAGCAAGGATGAGGTTTCTCAAAGCCAAATACATGGTGGGGTCTCGTGAATATTCTGGGAACTCATAGAGCTCATCCAGTTCCATCACATCTGGCCTCACACAGAGGGCTTTTCCACATTCATTGGGCTGGTAGAAAGGCTGGAAGTACTGGTTCATGCCAGGAACTAAGAGAAGACAAACCAAAAGTAAGTCTCAGATCTCATTAATGTTTATTAAGCATCTACTACGCGCCAGGTACCATGGTAGGTACTGAGGATACAAAAATAAAAGGAAAAACAACCCCAGCCCTAAAGTAACTTACATTCTATGACTGTGTGTGTGTGTGTGTGTGTGTGTGTGTGTGTGTGTGTGTGTGTGTGTGTGTGTAAAACAAATACAAGGTAATTTGATCGGAAAGGGTCCAAGCACTTGAGGGAATCAGGAAAGGCTTCATATAGAAGGTGGCACCCAAATTGAGTCTTTTTCCTCCAATTCAATTAAAAAAATGTTAGATACCTACAAAGAAGGGGCACCATGCCAGGTGACAAGAACAGGAGTCATGGACTTGAAGAGGCTCACTTTCTATTAATTTCAGTTAATTTCTTCATCTCTCAGCTTAGGATTATAGATCTAAAAGGCAATTCAGGCCATATCCAACCCCCTCATTTTGCAACCAAAAAAACCACCATTGAGCTAAATCTAGAAGGAAACTGGGAATTCTAAAGTGTGAGGGAAGGAGTGCACTGCAGGAATAGGGGATGGTTGGGCATATAATTCTGGTAGCCTGAGTGCTCAGATTTGACCCTGAAATCCTGGCATGCACTAAACACATAAAGGAAGGAGGCTAAATTTTATTTTAAAGGTGTTGCTTTTTGTTTTGTTTTTATACTGAAGTTATTTGTTCTTAAGCCCCATTTCCAATGAATTATGAACCCTACTCAACAAAAACTAACATTTAATCAAAACTGAATGGCCAACTAACCGAGCCTGAAAGTACATTCCACATCTGTAGTTCCCCAACCCTCTACTGGGGAGAGGTAAGAATGGGTCATTATCAATTCTTCAGGATTCCTATGCCTACATTTTAACAAGGGCTTCTATGATTTGGGCAGCCCCAATACTCTAGGAGGAAGTTAGGGTGCCTTACATCAATGCTATCAGACTCAAACAGAAACAGATTCCTGAAGCCACATGTTGACTTAGAAAACCCAAATTTATATTATCTTTTGTGTTTTTATATATTTTGTTAAATATTGCCTAATTACATTTTAATCTAGTTCAGGCTTCATATAGGAGTGTTACAGGGGACTGATACCACTAACTTAGAGGCCACATAAAATCTATCTGTTTCATTAACAAGGAAGCTAACAGTTATACAGGAAAGAGGAAGACAAGAAATTTTTTTTCCCTTTATAATTTCTTTCAACTGAAAACAATCTGCCCAAAAAAACTTCTCCCACTGTCAGTGTCTAAGAATACGGTCCCCAAAACTACTCAGATGTTTCAGGTTTTTTCCCCCCTCAAAAACTAGGATGGGGGACTTCTGCTTCCAAAAGCCAAGATGGCAGAGTAAAAAGGTAGTTGTTTTTACCCTCCCCTATCAACCTCTGAAAGCCTAGAAAATATAGACCCAGGAAAAACCCTGGAACAGCTGAACCAGAAGAAAGATGGGGAGCAGCCGTGCAGCAGCCCAGGTAGCTTGAGGGATTAAAATGCCCCTCTTGCCTTGGGGGAAGGGGAGCAGTATGAAACTGGAGGTGTCCCAGGCAAGCTAGTGGAAAGCCCCATGTTAGCACAGCAGGAGGAGATCCTGAAATCCACGTGGTGGTGCAAGCAAACACCAACACCTGGACCTCCACGTGCTTCAGTGAGGGTGGGGGAACCACTGGGAAAAAAAATCAAAATAAATTAATAAAAAAAAATTTTAAAAATAGGATGGGCCATCATAAGAAAGCTACACTAAGTTAATAACAGACATGATTGTCTAACCATGCATAACGAAATCCAAAAAGTGAGGTACAACATATCAAGCTTGTTCCAGTTAAAAGGGAAATCTTTGAATTTTCATGAATCTCTCATTTCCAAGAGAAAAGGGGAGGAAATGGAAGAGGAAATGCTGGCCTAGGTGAACACTTCTTACCAAACACACCTGGAACAGCCTTGCACTGCTCCATCTTCTCAGGGCTGGCTTCACTGGGGTCTCGGTTGGTGCTGGTGCAGGAGGGGCTCATCCCCACACAGTCAGGATAATAGGCCGATAGTAAAGGCGCAGCCACACTATCTTTCAGAAAGGGAGGAAGGATAAGCATGGAATACCACCAGTGATTAGACACTTCAGCAACTCTCTGAGGTGGAGATGAGAGGAGAGCAAGATGGAAAAGGAAAGGAGAGTTAGGAATATCAAGAAGATGGAAGAAACAAAAGACAAAACAGATACATTCAATAAGGCTAAAATGATTTTCTTCATTTCATTTTATCTTTCCCCTTCCTTTCTTATTCTGCATTTTCCCCACTCAGACTGGCAATATTACAGATCCGAAATCTGAAAGTATAGGATTTGTACCAAATATGGCTTCTCATTCTTAAAAGACTAATTTTTCAACCAGGGAGTTCTTCCATACAGTTCACAGGATGATAGCTCAAGAATTGAAAGAGACCTCAGAGGCCATCTAGTCAAAATCTGCTCATTTTATAGATGAGGAAACTGAGGCACAGTGAGGTTAAATGACTGCCCAGGCTCATAAAAGTAAGTAGGCATTGGAGGTGAGATCTGAAACCTGGTCCTCTGATTTCAGAGCTAGTGGGCTCTCTACTACACTTTTTGATCAAGGACTTCAGAAAATTTCTATTTTCTATAGCCAAAGTCAAATCAATCAACAAACACTTATATATCATACACCAGGAGTTAGGCTAAGTGATAGGCATATAAACGAACAAACTGTCCCTGCCTTAAAGGACCTTACATTCTGATGTAATCTGATGCAAAGTATAACTGAAACATCATCCCTGAGGTAATTTAAGAAGGTTTACTTTCCTTTCCACCAAGTCCACATTTTAACCTTTTATTGCAACACAAAATCAACTTTGATTTTAAGATAAGAACTGAACTCTAGATACTGGGCACTGGACACAACATGCTAAATAACATTCCAATCCATCTTTAACGCTTCTGGTCAAAGGTTAATGGAAAGCTTCAACCACAATACAGTCTTCAGAATAAGATTTAAAAAATAGAGACCAAAACAAAATTAGCCAGTTCTCCGAATACATAACATTGTTCTATACCAGACTTCATCTATGAAAGTCAAAACACAACTGCTATGTCTGAAATATCATTTGTTATAGATTTTAAAATAGCTAGCAAAAAAGAAATTGTCAAAAATAAGTCTACATCAGACAAATAAGCCTTTTTTGATACCGATCTTTAAATACATGCAAGTCAGAGTAAACCCAAAAAATATCTGTTGTAGTTCTAAGATAAAGTGAACAAAATGGAAGAATCAGTCACAAAGCTGACATTCTGAAAGAGACTGCCACCAAGGCTTCTCAAAGTTTTAGAAAGGCAAGATTAAATAAGATGTTCTTTCACAGTCACTTTTGATAAGTCTATGTTGTTGTTTTTCAGTTGTGTGCAGCTCTTCTTGACCTCATTTAGGTTTTTTTTTTGGCAGAGACATAAGTGGTTTGACATTTCCTACTCCAGCTCATTTTACAAATAAGGATACTATGGTAGACTGGGTTAAGTGACTTGCCCAGGGTCCCACAGCTAGGAAGTTATATGAGGTCACATTTGAACTTAGAAAGATAAGTCTTCCTAACTCCAGCCCAGGCACCACCTAGCTGCCCAGTAAGTCTATACCACCTGGAAAAATTTGTACTTAATACACTTCAATTCCCTTAAGTCCTAATCTGATACAACATCATGGCATGGAGGAGACCCTGGGTTCTCAATTCAATAAGCTTAAAAGCTCCTACTATGTGCTTGGTGATCATGACATAAGACCAAAAAAGGGAAGCAGCCCATGCCTTTAAGAAGCTTACATTCTATTGAGGGGAGAAACAATGCACACCTGGAAAATGAAGTACAAAAAATAAATCTATGCAAAGTAATTTCTTATGGAAGAGAACAAGCGAACAGACTTCCCACAGCACATGGCACCCAAGGTGAGCTTTGAAGAAAGACATGAATTGCAGAGATGAGGAAGGAATAAATCCCAGACCTGGGGGATACAGCCTATACAAATGTATGAAGGATGGGATGATGGGCAAGTGGTACATTGAGAAAAGCAAGGTAGCCAGTTTGACTACAGCATAAACCATGTGAAAGGGAGAAAAGTGTAATAAGCCTGAAAGGCTAGAGCCAGAGGAGTTTTTATTTTATCCTATAGGCAAGGGGGACCTACTGGAGTTACCTGAGTAAGAAAATGAAACGTTTAGCCATGTGCTTTATGAAAATCACTTCGGTAACTGTGTGGAAGACAGGTTGGGGGGCAAAGAGACCTGAGGTAGGGAAACAAATAAGCAGGCTATTATAATAGCCCAGGCAAGAGGAGAAGAGGGCATAAACTAGGTTTATGGCCATGTGAGTGGACAGCAGAGATGGGAGATATGTTATGGGGAAAACTTAGGAACTGACTGGACATGAAGAGGAAAGAAGAGTGAGGAGATGAGGCTGACTACAAGGTTGCAACCATGGGTGAACAGAAGAATGGTGGTACAATCAACACAAAGAAATTAGGGAGATAAGAGGATTTATGGGGAAGGGAAGACATTAAATTGTTTTGGATGTGCTAAGTTTGAACTGTCTATGTGACATTCAGTTGTAGATGTCCAATACGTAGTCCCAAAGTGATTCAAGACTAGAATTCAAGAGAAAGACTGATGCTGAATATAAAGACTCAGGAATCATCTGATTAGAGATGATAGTTGGACCTATGGAAGCTGATGAGATCATCAAAAAAATAGAGAGAAGGTGGACCTTTACAGAGATCTGGGCTACACTCACCAAAAAGGAATGGGGCATGGATAATGCCACATAGGCAAAACTAGAAAAGAGTAGCATTATGAAAACCCAGGGAAGAAAGGGCACCAGGACATCCATCAAATGCCACAGTGGGGTAAGGAAAGGGAAGGCCTGAGAAAGGGCCATTGGATTTGACCATATAGAACAGTTAACTGTAAAGAGCACTTTCAGTTGAGTGCTGAGGCGACAGAATGGAGGAAATAAACAGAGACAGCTTTTTCTGATTTAGCTGTGAAAAGGAAGAGAGATAATAGAGATAGTAGCAGTAAGTAAAAATCTTAAGAAAAAAAGTAAATGGGACAGTTAGGTGGTGTAGTGGATACAGCACCAGCCCTGGAGTCAGAAGGACTTGAGTTCAAATCTGGCCTCAGACACTAACTAGTTAGCTGTGTGACCCTGGGCAAGTCACTTAAGCCCCACTGCCTCAAAATTAAAAAAAAGAATAAGGTAAAAATAGGCATATTTGTGAGAAGGCTAGAAGAAGCAGTAAATAAGGAGACACTTAAAATTAAGGAGAAAGAGGGGATGACCAAAAGAGCAAACTCAAGGAGACAATGGGAAGGGCAGGGAAGAGAGCAAGAGCCCAAGCAGAATGGCTAGTGTTTGCAAGGACCAGAATAAGGGTTTTTTTAAACCTTTCTTGGGCCATGGACTCCTTCAGAGAATCTGGTGAAGCCTATGGACTCCTCCAAATGTCTGCTGTCTATATTCATAATTAAGGAAAATGCTAAATTTCAGTAGAGGTTAGTATATACAAACATGAATTTTTTTTCCATTCAAGTTAACAGACCTTCTGAAAATTATCCAAGAACCTCAGCTTAAGAACCCCTGTAAGAAAGCAAAGAACAGTGGGAGATGATGTTGAGGTAATTTAAAATACAGAACTGGGAAAAAGAGTGTACTCATGACTCATGATACACGGCTTCCATTTTTTCACTGAAGCATTTAGCGAGATCCTCTGCTGAAAGGAAGTAGGAAGGATGTAATGGATGGTTTAATGAGAGACAAGAAGGTTAGAGCACTCACTTAGTGGAGTAAGATACAGTTAGCCAGAGATGAGTAAAATGACTGCTGTACATAGTAGTAAGGATCCAACTGAGATTACGTAACAAATCTGAAATCACTTACTAGTAGCCCCAGTCAGTTTGGCTGCATGACTTCCTCTATCAACCAATAAAGAGAATGGTAGGTATAATACAAGGTTGGTGTTTGGAAAGGGAAAATTGACAAAAGGACAAGAAAACAAGACTCAATGGCAGAGAATGATGTGAGATTGAAATGGTTTAACTATAAAGTCAATATTTTTAAAGGAGAAAGTGGGTCCAGAGCAGAAGTGATGGTCTGAGAAAGCAGGAAGTGCAAAGGGCCTAGAAGTGGTGGTAAGGATGGAGAATAGGGTGAAGAAGGATAATGACTAGGGAGTGGTTAAATGATAGGAGGTTATGGTCAGATAAGGAATATCAGAATAATGGATAATGGGGGTGGAACATATGGGTGGATGTTAAGTTCAAATATATGACTTTTCCATGGTTATCTGACGGGGGAGGTGGGAAATGCACATCAAGGGAGCAGGGAATTGCAAAACAAAGGTTTGCAAACAAACAAAAACAAAAATTGCAAAATAAGGGTTTTTGAGGGGATATCAGCACATAAACCGAAGCCCTCAAGTATAAGGAAGAGGGGTTAGGGTTCAGGGGCTAAGCCAGCCAAATATAAGTTCTTGCAAGTCCTCTTAATCTTTGAAAGCCTTTGACTCTGTGCCCAAGGTGAGTCTGCATCGAAGAGCCAGCCTAGTCAAATCTGGAGAAGCTAATTAACAGGGGACTGGCCAGTAGGCAATGCATTTTTGTTCAGGCATAGCAACAAAGGAAGGTCATCTACTAAAAAGAGTACAATGATGGGAAGTATCCATACAAATGAAGTCATAGGTCCCTGCCAGCCCATTAGGAAATGTGTATCAAAAACCTAATCATGAAATTTAGCTCGTTAAAAAGTGGCCTGAGAATACAAAGGAATTGAATAAGGCTAAAAGAGCCTAAAAGAGCACAAAACCCCATCCTTAGAGTTCTGCACCTTGACAGAACATGATTGAAGTAAAGAAGACCAAATGTCTCATTAGGGCCACATCACAGACATGGATTCTAAGGTGTTGAAAGGTATTCAACTTCTGCTCAGTTTATAACTTCTAGAGTTCTATCCCCTGATTCTATAAGGCTCTTTTCAGGAAACAGTTTTGTGGAATTTCTAATTCTAAATCAAGTATTAGTTTCATGAAGAATTTAGGTAGTAGTTTTGCTTTGGAAAAGATTTAGCAAGAGATAAAAGATGAAAAGCCACCTCTTGAACAAAAGAATTTCAATATATCTCTGCTAAACATTTGCTTTTCCTAGTCCTCCGACCATCACCACTTTAACCACTGACCTAACTAGATCTGGTACATGTACAATGAAATAGCCATAGAAACGAATTCCCACTACAGTTTGGGATTAACAATAATTTTTAAAAAATCACTGAAATCAATGATTAAATTTTTAAAATCTCAAATTTTTATAGAGGCCATCAGGCTGTATGGCATGTGGCAGTTATGGTACGGTTCATTTACTTTGGGGCTTCCTACAGATAGTCAGGTAAGGATGTTAGATTTCACCAAAATGAACAGATATAGCTGCAATCTGCTAGATAGTGAAACTGATTCCTTGTTACAAGGAGGCAGAGAAAGAACCAAAGACTGAAGATGTCAGAAGTCAAAACACATGGAAACATTGGTACTCTGAGTCCTAAGCAAAGGGGGTTAGAAAAAAAGAGGCAGTATGACCCTCACTCTTTTTTCTCATGAAGGAAAAGAGTAGAGCTTAGCACAAGGGCTCATCCTCATACAACTGGGTATCTGGCAAGAAACTGGAAGGAGTTTTTGAAAAAAATAGCAAACTTCACAAGAAAGGGAGATGGCACTTTCATCAGCAGCCAAGTGGAAAGAAAACTCAGAAGAATGTCACTGTCATTCACAAACAGAGCTTAACAACAAAGGCACCATGAGGGGAAATAAAAAATAATCTGTAGATGGTAGTTTACTTACTAGATCCTCTGGTTGGGAGCACTGGTCTGAGCCCTCCGTCTACAAAAGAACACCAATATATCACTGCCTATGTAAAAGCCCTTAACCCAAACACAATTTAAACTCATTTAGCTGTGACATTCGTTTTTCATATCACTGTTTACAGATCAATCCTTTCAACTGAGTTTAGAAACTTAAAAGTTATCCCTCATGAGAATGAACCCAGGTGTGATTTTTCAGAAAGCTCTGAGAACCCAGGGGCTTGACCTATAAACTAAAATGACTCTGCAGCTATTAATATGCAATTAGATAATATGGTAATTTAGTATGGTAATTTAAAAACTCAGGCTTTTTGAAACTTTAATATGAATTTTAGATCCTATTCCAGTAACATTTCGTATGTGAAATATATGAAAAAAAGTTTTGCTTCTAGAATCACAGTGATCTTACTTTACATGTGAAAAATCAATTTAATTTCAAAGAATTTGTTTGAATTATAGTAATCACTAAATTCCTTCATGTGTATAACTATTCTTTAACTTTTTAAAAAATATGAATTTTTTCAATGACTAGTTTTGACTATTTCTAAAATACTGAAAAGTATATCATTTATCTATCTTCTAGTTTTGGAAGAACTATTAAAACCCTGACATAAAGGAAAATCAATATGCTAAATGCATTAAAAAAGATATACATTACTAGCCTTTCCCAGAAAGCTAGGTTATCAACAGAGTCAAAAGGAAAACCACAGCAAGACACACCTTAACTGAGGCGTTTGGTTTGGTACCACAGCGATATGTCTGTGCCATTTGTGGTGTAAGCTGAATTTCCTTCGTAAGCTGTCTCCATTTCCCACAGTCAGGTTTTGTGCACTGAACCTAGAGGGTACATGAGAAGTTTAAAAAAAAAAAAGCAGTGGTGAGTAAGCAAATATTTACCTACTTGCTTTCACACCCTACTCCTTATAAAGCCTCCACCCTCAATTGCTCATGTAGTCACCTTCTACACATGATATAACTAACCTTTTAGCAGTCCCTAGCTTTGACTCCCCACAACCCTTGGCACCGCAACCCTTGATAATTCACTTTTACCCAACCAGTTCATTTCAAAGTATGTTCCAACAAAGTGATCTGAATGAGACGGTCAGAAAATATTTTCTAGCAACATAAGAGATGAACTTGGATCCATTCTATCATTTCTAAAACTTCAATTGCATTAAAAGCTACAAATAGAGCAGCATACTCCTTACCCAATACGGAAGCTGTTGATCAGCCATAAAAGCTTTGGGACTAGGCTCACATTTCCCATTACTAGTCCATATCCTTTTCCAACCAGCGTATTTTTCATACCCATCTTTGTGACTAAAAAGCAAAAAAAATTTGTTTTAAATCAAGTAACTAAAAATAACATTCAATTTTTACAGTCCTGGTTGTTTAATCTTTTATAAGCTACTTCCACCTACAAGACAAATAATAAACAGATAGGAGAAGAGTATTTTATTAAAACACCTACAATCCAGCACCTCTAAGTAGTTCAAGGTGTTTGTTTTTTTTTTAAAGATGGCTACCCATACAGCGCCCTCTGGTGGCTGATATTCCCTTGCAGCAGAAAGAGCGCTACTAATTCAGCGGACAAGAATTTCTGTAACCTGGCAATTATTTTTAATTACGTACACACAGAGACAGAATCAGAAAGGAGGAATTCCTTTTCACATATGAATTGGACTAGTTGACCTCTCAAGTGCTACAATTCTAATAATTCAAAATTTTGGTTTAGAAGACAAGTATTTAGAAAAACCCAGTAAATCTTTCTAAGGACCAGGAACTTAAGCGTCTGGTCAGTCAATAAACATACCTCCGGTAGTAATGGTCAAAGCATTCATTGCAAAAATGTTCCCCACAGGATAGGTGATACCATCGAGATGTATAGCCATTTTTTGCACACCTAAAGAAGAATATTCACATAGCCATAAAATGAAGTGAAAAAAAATTCTCCAATGCAACCACCTACCACTCATTCTTTGATTAAGCAAATGATAAACAAATGCTGATGGGAACATGGAATTGAAAGACTGACATACTGTCACCATAGTAATGATTTTTCTGTATTTCTTTATAGTGTCTTATCCCATGCTGTCTCATTTCATATACAAAATGATTATTTCCACGAAACATCATGTCAGCAATTCCCAACCATGCTTTTGTAATACAGGAATGTTTCTATAATTACCTCAAGTTCTATTATAAAGTTCTCAACAACAACAAATCCCTTCCAGCAGAACTTACTTAAATTCACTTTATTTTTAAGAGAAATACAACATTCTGATGGGGGCCAATGAAAAAAAAATAATGATAAAAGGTTGGAAATCACTGCTCTAGATTCACACTATATGTTTGTGTTTCAGTGGACTAATGTGAGAAGTCAAAGCCCAAGTGAAAAACTGGCAAGTGCAATTTGACCTCAATATTGGAAATTTGATAGATGTGAACTGCTCAAGTGACAATGATATTTTAAGAGATCTAAAAAAAAAGTTAACAGAAGACACAAGTTGAAAAAAACAGATCTTTTGGACTCAATTTGGACACTAATTGCTTTTATTTTAGTTTTAATATGATTTTCTTAAATCTTGAACTGAGATTTTTCTCCTAATTTGAGCACCCAGCTGCCATCTAAGAGAGAAAATAGCTTGAGATGCACGTATATTCCCATGGACCAAAACATATTTTTATATGTAAAGACAATACTACATATACGTATATATGCATAATAATAATAGGCAGCACTTATATAGAGTTTTCAATGTTTGCAAAGAGCTTTACAAATTTCACATTTGATTCTCATAACCCTGGGAGTTTTATTATCACCCTCATTTTACAGATGAGGAAACTAAAGCAGATTGTGGTTAAGTGCCCTGCCCACGGTCAATGAGTCAGTAAACAAACATTTATTAGGTGCCTCCTTTGTGATGGGTCACATAGCTAGTCAGTTTCTGAGGCTGGATTTGAACTCAGGTCTTCCTGACTCTAGGTCCAACACTCTATCCATTGTGCCAACTAGCTGCCTCTATTATATACATATACGCATGTTAATCAAATGTAGATGAAAAATTGAGCCATCTCAGATATTCTTCCCTCCACTCCACAAGCTCCAATTCTAACCTCTACAAATACAAAGGTATTAGTATGTCAAGACCATAAGTGACATGTTCTATAAGCAAAGAAGCTAGACGTGTATATATATCAGCATTCACATGCATGCATGTATAAATACAAGCTCCTTGAAAAACTGGTCTTTGAAGATACAACTGCCACAAGCAACACTCTCACTTTGACTTGCCAAGACACATTATCTAAGCAAACCTTTCAGCAGCACTTGAGAAGCAAACTGGACAAGTTGCTGTACATCCAGCCTTTTCACATTTTCTGTACTTCTTCTCAGATGAGGCATCCTCATCATCATCTGCTGCTACTTCAGCTACTTTTTTCTTCACCTGCAGAGGAATCAGTAAAATGAAGTTCAAAAAATTACGTATTTAGAAGGGGAAGGGGATGGGGGGGTGGTAATAGAAGGGAGAACAGATTGGGTAAAGGGGGAATCAGAATGAAGGCTGTCATGTGGGTGGGGGGAGGAGAGGGATGGGGAGAAAATTTGGAACTCAAAATCTTGTGGAAGTAAATGTTGAAAACTAAAAATAAATAAATAAATTGGAAAAAATAAGTACTATTAAGAAATAGTAACTGTTGACTGATAACTCTTAATGGTTTGCTAAGTCCTTTACAAACATAGTCTTGCTTGACCAAATTTGAAAGAAATGTTTCTGAAAGTCACTTCTGAAGCTAGTGTTGATGCAAATAAAAAACAGAACCTGTAGACTGGGGCTTTATAATGCACTTTCAATCATTGCTCTGAATAGACAGAAAGTGGTTGGTTGTTCTGTTATCATTTACTGACTTCCTCGGAGGTGGGCTCACTGTTTTAACTGTTATAGTTTTGGAGTAGAAAACCCAGTTCATGTACATTTTCCCTAAGGATCAGATTAATGTTTCCTTCATTCAGAGCAGCTCTACCTTTTCAGGAATGCAGAACAAGTCCTATAATTAATTCTAAAGGAGGCAGAATTTGAGAGTGCTCACTACATTTATCTATTAAAGCCCCAAAGAGTACAAGACTAGAAATAATTGTGCAATACCTGCCTCCCGGAACTCCTCAAAGGAAGACTATCTGAAGACTGGTCAAATGAAGCTGCCTTTTTCTTTGCTCGAACCCTGAGGGTTGACATCTTATCACAGTGTCTGCCAAATAATTAAGTGTTAAAATATTAATGACTAGATACCCTGTAAGCTCTTTAGAGAAAAAAAATAACACATACATTTATAACATATGCAAATAAACAGTAAATTCAACTCTTGAGGAATAGTCAAACCAACTGTCTATTAAGTCCAACAGATGAAACCATAAATGAAGAGTCTGGTTTGGTTTTCCCTTTTAGGAATACTCTCTATTCTTTTATTTCCTCACCCACCAGCAGATGCTGCATGTCAATCTTTTAGCACGTTAAAATAGAGATGAATTGTTTATTAACATCCATTAGTTGTGCCTTGGAAATGGTATGGGCTAGATGGTCCATTAAGAGCATTGGACTTGGGAGTCAGGAAAACCTGAATCCAAATCCTGCTAGGTGGCACTTACAAATCACTTAATCTCTCTCAGCCTGTTTCCCCATCTGCAAAATGAAAAATAATGGCACCTATGTCACAAGGGGAATCATCAAATGATATAATATGTACAGTACTTTTTCAAACTTCAAGTGCTATACAAATGCGAACCTTTGACTCAGTTACTGCCAAAGGCAGACAGACCAGTTACTCTGTAGGATATGCAATTTTTTAGAGCTAGAACAAACCCTGGAAGTCTTCTAATCCAACATCTTCAAGAGGCACCTCAACCTCCAAGAGTTTAAGTGACTCACCCAATGTTACACAGGTAGTTTAAGTAGGAGAGCTGAGATTTGAAACCAGGTCCTCTGATAACAAATACTATGCTTTATAGCAGCTCTTTTTGTGGTGGCAAAGAATTGGAAATTGAGAGGATGCCCATCAATTGAGGAATGGCTGAACAAGTTGTGGTATATGAATGTAATGGAATACTATTGTGCTATAAGAAATGATGAACAGGCTGACTTCAGAAAAACCTGGAAAGACTTATATGGTCTGATGCTGAGTGAAGTGAGCAGAACCAAGAGGACTTTGTACACAATGACAGCCATGTTATACAATGACTAAGATTGTTAAACTGAACCCTTCTCAGCATTATGAGGATCTAAGACATCTCCAGAGGCCTCGTGATGGAAATGCTGTCCACATCCAAAGAAAGAACTACGGAAGTCGAATCGCTATCACTTATTTTTACCTTCTGTTGTGTTTTGTTTCATCTTTCTGATGGTTCCTCCTATTGGTTTTAACTTTTATTTACAACTTCACTAATGTGAAAATATGTTTAATGGGTATTTAAATGTAAAACCTATATTAGATTGTGCGCTGTCCTGGGGAGGGTGGGGGGAGGAAGGGGGAGAAAAATTTTCAACTCAAAAGCATATGAAAGTGATTGTTGACAAATCAAAATAAATTAATAAAAAAAAAAACCAACTCTAAAAAAAAAAGCAAATACTATGCTTTACCCACGACACCATGCTGTCTCACAGGAAATTTTTTCCATGCTCTCAAAGAGGCTCAATGATGTGGCAGACTGAACAAAAGTTCAATCCAATACATGCAAGAAAAACTGAAATAAATTGCAAAAGACTGAAAAGCTAACCAGTCAGTATTGTTAGATGTTTTCTGGCCTTTTTCTGGGTTTCTGTGTGTATGAAAAACACATAGAAGTCGAAATGACAAAGACGTGGGGTTATAAAGTGGGGAGGGAGGGGCAGATGTGCAAGTGGAAGGGGAAAAACAGAATATAGTAAACAACTAATGTAATTTGTACCAGCTTGTTGGGTTGTTTTGAGGAAGGCAGAATGCATTTACATCTATTTGCCTCTAATGACCTTCCAAAAAATAAGATTATTTCCCAACTATCAGGGATGGCTTGAATAGCCTATATTAGCAACCTACCACTTCCCCCCCCCCTCCACTCCACACACACTTTGCCATTCACAGAACTAAGGAAAAAAAATTTTGAGTTAATTGGTCTTGGCCACTCAGACTGGTTTTCCCTGTAATCCAGCCTACTTTCTGTTCAAGTTTATTAAAAATGTCCTAACTTGATTAAATTATGAAGGACCTACAAACTTGCTTTTTCATTAGGTCTCTTGGACAAAAAATAGTTTTTTTAAACTAGTTTAAAAAGTTATCTCAAATCATGAAGGAAACAGTCCTGGGAAGATTTTAAATTGTGTATCATCAGCTTCTCTCAAGGTTTCAGATTTCACCTACATACTTGGGTAGATATTTTGTAATATGCCTAAAGTCCTCTAAAATTGAACGTTTCCCCCAATGATTTTCAGAGCATCTGTTACATAATTAGAGCTTTTTGTTAAAGCATTATAACTGTTTAATAATTATTAACCTGAAGGAAATTTCCAGATTTCACTTATATCATCTTTAAAATGCAATATGATTTAAAGATCAGTAAAAAAAATTAGTCTTCTATGTAAATACAAAATTCCAAAAAGCTCAACAGGAAACAATCATGAACTTACTTCGTAACATAACAGTAAACACATTAATAGTTTAAGTGTCAGACAACCAAGAAAAACATACTGTGCAAGAGGAAAGGGCTTAGGAACAGAAACTGAAACCCCCCCCCCAATTCAGCCAACCTTTACCATCACCACCTGGGAAGATTCAACCATTCACAAAACAAAGCACAAACATCAAGAAATTTCAGTTGACTCTTCAACTGCCATTTTTGTTCCATGTGTCTATGAGTATATTTTGAATTGCACAAGCAATAACCAATTCCTATTCCTGTTTTTCCTGTTTAAACACTCTCTGAAAATGTCATGAAAACCACTGGTCACATCAGGCTTGTCTTCAAAAATGTCACACTCAAGTTACAGCTTTTGCACTTTCCAATCTCAATTCACCCCTATATGTATGCATAAATATTTATGTGTACATAGGTAGGTATATATTAATTTTCCTGTAACCCTTTTCTATTTCTACTTTTTGTACTTATTTTAATTTCTCTATCATTCTAAATAATGGAAAGGAAAAAAAAACAAATACCCTATGCAAAGCTGAAAGGAAACTACAACTTTAGTCTTCTATCATAATTTCAGATTTATTTATGGGATCCTTAAAAGAAATAATTTAGTTCGAAGTTTTAGAAACTGAGCTTACACCTTTTAAAAACAAAACCTTCAAATATAATGTATTTTATATTTAATATGAATTTTTTTATTTTAGGTTTAAACTTAGTTCTGCCAAATGATAAAAGAAAAAAAGGGAAAAGAAGGGAAAAGAAAGAAAGAAGAGTTCCTCTCCTCCCCCAGAGAACAGATATTTTTTCTTTCCAAAGCTGCAGACCCTAGGCGATAGAATCTACAAAAATATCAACCAAAAGGGAGCCATCTGTGCTTACAGGTTATAGACTACAGAGACTACTTGTTTTGGAAGTTAACTAGAAAAAAAAAGTTGTTCATCACAGAAATAATTAACTGTAGGCCTGACTACTCATATGTGATACCTCAAAAAGACAATGCCCTGGGGCACTATGGAAAACATGGCAGTATAAGTGCTGCACTTCATTCCTCCCTATAATAAGGAAATCTCAAGAAAAACAAAGGTAGCTCCTATGAGTCTCAGTTCCTGTTACTAACAGGATCTTCAGTAGCTACCAACCTTCCCTGACATGAAATAACAATGATAATCTTCCCAAATAGTTCACAAAGTTTCTCCCATTCTTGTCTTTTGCCCACCACAAAAACCAGCAACACACTTCACAAACAAAATGTACCACCACTTTCCAGTGGTTGTCAAGATGTTTTGTCTTATTTTCTGATAATGGTGATGGGTTTCAAGGATGTCAAACATCTTTCTTCCCCAGTGATTAATGTCACTCTTTTGCAACACAGCTGGACAAAGCAGTGTAGTCTATGGAGTGTAACCTGTGAGTACAGATGGCTCAACACCAACTTTCTACAGCTGGGCCTTCTCCTTCCTTCCTCTTATGCTTGACAGCTGAGTAACAACCACCATGCTCTGCCCGCCCCCACCTTCTAGTTCTCTCTCTAGGACGAGTTACCCCAGCAACCTCCTAAAGTAAGAACTCAGAACGTGTCAAGAACGGGAGCTACCCTTTCTTCAGGACCAGTGGTTTCTAGGAAGTCACCTTATTAATCTAGGAAGAGCCAGACACACTGTTTCCTTTTCTTTTGCATCCCCCAAGGCTCTAGGAAAGCTCCTCCCGCAGCAGACCACCCCCGAGTGACAGAGCTCTGACAGCAGCAATGAAAACATGAAGAGCTCATCATCCCCCGTGCCAGCAAGCAAAAGCAGCAGCAGTGCCTCTTGGCAAACTGGCTTTTCTTCCTCTCTCTCTTTCTCCCTCCCTTTCTCTCTATGGCAGGGAAAGAAGGAACAGAATCGGGTTGCCTCTCACCTTTGCACCGAACTGGTGCGGCGAGTCGCAGTGAGCAGAAGCGGCTGCAAGAAAAAGCAAGCTGTAAGACATGAGGCAAGAGCAACACAACTAGCCAGTGGATTCCCTCTTCCCAAATTCGTCCTCACCCCACAACCGCGTTTTGGAGCCCGTGCCGAAGAGCGCACCCCCGCACAGCACCCCACCACACCCTACGCCACCCCCCACGCCCCTTTAGAGTCACCGCACCTCACTGAGGTCCTCTCTCGGACCTTCCCACTTCCCACTCCAATTCTCCTGGGTAGGAGAGGTTGTGAAAGGGGACCGAGGGGGGGGCCTGCACCCCAGCCGAGCCGCTTTGTGCGGGCGCTGTCACCCGAAGTCACCCACCGCCCCCGCCCCGGCGCAGCCGCGCGCCTCCAACCTCCGAGCTCCAGCAAAAGGGCGGGCGCGGCTCCGACCCCCGGAGCCTCCCGTGAGCCGCGCGCCGCACGCACGGGACCGGACAATCCGCGCAGGGAGCGAGGGGCAGCCTGCGCTCAGCCGCCGGCCGCCGCGGCGCCGCTGCTTCCGCCCCTGTCACGCCGTGACCCGGTGGGGGAGGAGCTGGGGAGGGGCTCGGGACCCGCCTCCGCCCCGGCCGCCCCGCCCCGGCTATTTCCGCCGGCGCAGCTTAGACCCAGAGAGAGGGGGAGGGAAGAGAGGCGGGGTCTGCTGCGGAGAGGCGGGGCCAGAGTACTAGGAGTGCTGGGGACCTGTTTGCTGACGGAGGCCAGACTGGGACCTGGGAGGTGCGGTGGGTGAGTGCAAGTGTCCAGCTCTCGTAGGCGTTCAGGAGTGCGTGTGAGCCTGTGAAACTGTGAGTGACCCTTCCACCACCCCCAACCCCCAACCGTGGGCACGGGAGGAGTGAGCATTGATTTAAAACTGGGGGGAACCTTGGAGTGCATCGCCCTCGTTTTTTACAAATGAGGAAACTGAGGCCCAGAGAGGTGACTGCAAGTCCAGGGCTCTTGGCACCACCCCACTCTGCAAGAAGCGGAGTGGAACCTTCCCCCCCTTTGCTGAAGAGCTGTGGTTGTTACAGTTGCTGAGAGGCCGAGAGCCACTTGTGATGTATCATATCTGGTATATGCTATCCATCCCCTCCGACCCTGTCATTAACCCCAAACCACTGAAGTTTGTTATTGCTGTTGTCCTTTCTAGCAGTGGGATGATATGGTCATAACTCTACCCTAAAAATTAATTTTGTTAGCCATGTGATATAGTTAGAAAGAGACCTTGGTTTCGACTCAAAACCTTGATTTGAATCAGAGCCCTACAAGTTGCTCCCTGGGTGACTTTGAGAAGGTCAGTCTGTTTAGCCTCAGTAGCTTCACCTGCAAAATAAGGGGGCTGGGATAGATGACCTGTCTGGTCCATTCTGACTCTAAATAAATCTCTGATCTATGATCCTAGGTGGCCTCTAAGGTCCCTTCCAACCCTAAGTCTGTAATTCTAAGGTAATTGTGCCACATTAACTTTTTCTTTTTTTGATGGGATCATGATTTTTAGAGGCAAGAATGACCTATGGACTTGTGGCATTCTTGCTAGTCTCCCTGTTTTCATGTAAGCTAGGGAGAAAAAAAAATGTGAAACCTTCAACTTTTGCATCGCGTGACTCATACTTAGTAAACCTTCATGTTTGAACTTTGATCTAAGAAAACTGTTACTTAAGTTAGCTATTATTCTTTAAAAGCAGGAAAAATAGGTTTAGGAGGACCGAAATAATAAGTACTGCAGTGACCAGGTAAAAGTTGCATACACAATATGAAGTATACACCCACACACACACACACACACACACACACACACACACACACGCACACATTGCCCCCCTCTCCTACTGACACAGCGCAGTAACAATACAGTATTCAAGTGTTACTGTTATTGTGGATATGCAATAGTTATTTTATATTTTTATAGCTGGTTGTAATAGTTTGTCGTTCCCACGAACCACTTTTTTTATGGTACTGCTTTAAAAGAGAGGGAGGGAATAAGCATTTATTTAGGATGCAAAGCCTCATTTGATCCTCCCAACAACCCTGTGAAGTAGGTATTATTATTACCCTCATTTTACAGGTGAGGAAACTGAGGCAAAGAGATTTTTTTTTAAGTGACTTGCCCAGGAGCACACAGCAGGTTTGAGGATGGATTGGAATTCGGATTTGAATTTTTGGCGCCTTGATTCCAGGCCTAGTACCCTAGCCATTGAACTAGAGCTGTATGAACCTGGGACAAGTCACTTAATCCTCTTTGCCTCAGTCTGGAGAAAGAAATGGCAAACCTTTCCAGTATCTTTGTCCAAGAAAACCCCAAATGGGATCATGAAGAGTCAGACACAACTGAAATATTTAAAACAGGATATTTGTTTTTTTAAAAAAATCAAATTCTCTATGACTCAGTAATAGAAAACATCTATTGCATAAAGTGAAGTATACCTGTATATTTAGGTTAAAAAAATTTGTGTATCATTCTTTCTTAGTTGTCTCACTTTTCAAAAACTGGTACTTTTTGGACATCAAAAATGTCTTACTCCCTGATTCTTTTGCAAAGTGGGGTGGAGATTGGGGGAAAGGATAAGCATTCCGTAGGTATGGAATGTTACATATAATGTCTGATTTTTTGGGTTGATTTATCTTATTGAATTTTATCTCTTCTTCCTTGTTTTCTTTAGTTTTTATTTTTAAAAAACCTAGAAGGGATAGCTCTCTGGCAGGAAAGCATATAAAGGGAAATTTAGGCAATGTAAAAATAAGATAGTGGTAAAATTTACTAAAAGCAAAAAAATTCTTACTACCAATGCTAACATCGGATAACAACATTTCAGTGCATTTAACTGACAGTAGTGTCAGTGCCTTTCATTTAGATGTGAGAAATTCCTGATTTGTGGAAGGTATCTGCCCAGAAATCATGGATAGTTCAACAGCTGTAGCAGAAGCCAAAGATCACTCCGCTCTTGGGGAACAGCAAGACAATACACTAACTCTTGAATATTGGCATAAAAAATGGGAGATGCACGATATTGGATTTCATCAAGAACATGGAAATAAGTAAGAAACTCATTGTTTTATCCAACAAAGAAATGCTAAACTTGGTATTATTGTTATCATTAGATTCACATTGCAAAGCCCCAGGGATAGTTTTACACACATTAGAAGAGATAAACTTTTGTTGCATGAAAGATTAAAATGCATGATCTTTTTCCTTAAAAGAAAAAGCATACTTCACACTATAAGCACTATTGTATTGGCTATGATTTCCCATGTTTAAATTTAGGAACTTTCACCAAGTGATCACCAAATGTAGGCAGCTAGTGGAGTGAAAGAACTAGAAGACATCAGACGACCTGGGTTTGATTCCCACCACTCACCACTTACTAGCTATATGTCCTTGAGCTAATTGTTTATTTCTTTGACCTCAGTTTCTCTACCTGTAAGTTGCCATAATAATGCTTGAGAAAGATAACTACTTCATGGAGTTATTGTGACAATAAAATTAGATAATGAATGAGAGAATGACATACTTTTTTGGAAGGGCCAGACATTTGATAATAATTAAAGCCTGTTCAAGCATAAGATAAGGTAGGCTGTGAGAGAAGCAAAGAACAGGTTTAGGTGAAGCACCAGCAAAATTTCAAGGAGAGACTTTTTTCAGTTTGAGTAAGCCAGACAGTCTGGGTTCAAATTTTGGCTCTGCTGTTTAATGCCTTTGTGACCTTCGTTATCTTAACTTCTCTTTGACTCAGTTTTTTGTTCTGTAAAATGAAGGGGTTGCACTTGATGGCCTCTTAGGGCTTTTCCAGCTACAAAATCTTTGCTCTGTGAGTTATATGAAATCAGGTTGGAAAGGTAGGTTGGACTGTGTAGTGGGCCTTAAATGCTAGACTGAGAAGATACTTTATCGTATAGCAACAGAAAACCACGAAGTTTGTTATTGTTGTTGTTTTTTCTAGCAGTGGAATGATATGGTCATAACTCTACCCTAAAAATTAATTTTGTTAGCCATGTGATATAGTAGAAAGAGACCTTGGTTTCGACTCAAGACCTTGATTTGAATCAGAGCCCTACAAGTTGCTCCCTGTGTGACTTTGAGAAGGTCAGTCTGTTTAGCCTCAGTAGCTTCACCTGCAAAATAAGGGGGCTGGAATAGATGACCTGTCTGGTCCATCTGACTCTAAATAAATCTCTGATCTATGATCCTAGGTGGCCTCTAAGGTCCCTTCCAACCCTAAGTCTGTAATTCTAAGGTAATTGTGCCACATTAACTTTTTCTTTTTTTAATGGGATCATATCCTAGTTCAAAGATCAGGGGAATGCTGTAGATCTACTTTACCTAGATTTCAGTAAAGCATTTAAGCATTTAATTTATTGTTCTATCCTTGTTGATAAGCTGCTGAAATAGAAGTAAATGATAATACTCCTAGGTGGATTTGATCCTGTGAAGGATATATTAGAGATGCAGGAGAATAGAAGAAGGGAGGCTGTTTAAAAGATCATTAGGACTTCTGCTTTTGGAAGCCAAGATGGCAGAGTAAGAAATACGTTGCTCTTGCCCTCCCTTATTAACCTCTGAAAGCCCAGAAGATATCACCCCAGGAAAAACCCTGAAACAGCTGAACCAGAAGAAAGGTGGGGTACAGCAGTCCAATAGCCCAGGTAGCTTGAGGGATTAATGGGAAAGGCCCCTCTTGCCCTGGGGGAAGGGAAGCAGTACAGAACAGGAGGCATCCCAGCAAGCTAGCGGAAAGCCCCACTTCAGCATACCAGGAGGAGGTCCTGAAACTCAGGTGGTGGAGCAGGCAAACACCAACACCAAGACCCCTGAGTGCTTCAGTGAAGGTGGGGAAACCGGTGGAAACCAGCTTGGAAAACTACCAGGTGCCTGGACATTCTACAACAACCAGGTCTCCCAGTGCCTCAGCAAAATTAAGGGAAGCAGCACTCCAAGGGGCCCCAGGCAGTTGAACATCCTGCAACATCCATCTGAAAGGAGCTGAAGAAAGTGAAAGGAAGGAAAAGCCCACTTGAGCAAGAAATCTCCAGGGGCCACATTACCCAATTCTACCCCCAGAGTTCCAGTGTTGCTGATTCCAGCCCAACATCAGAGAGGCTGCCAGAACCCTACAGCTTCCAACTGCCAACATCAGAGGCCCCAGCACACAAAGCCAGTGACTAGGCCCTAGGCTCCCAACACAAGAAGCTTGGGTCAGTGCCCTCTGCTCCCCAGCAGGAGAGCTCAGTCTCTTTAAAGGCCAGGAAATAAGCAAACATCATGAGCAAAAAGGAACATACAATAGATTCTTATTATGGGAACACTGAAGATCAAGGCAGAAATTCTAAAGAGGACAACATTGTCAACAAACCCACATCTGGAACCTCAAAAGGGAATATGAACTGATCTGAAGCCCAAAAAACCTTCTTAGAAGAGCTCAAGAAGGATTTTAAAAGTCAAATGAGAGAGGTAGAAGAAAAAATGGGAAAGGAAATGAGAGGTATGCAAGAGAGAATCAATAGCTTGGAAAAGGAAGGACAAAAATTAGCTGTAGAAAACAAATCCTTAAAAAATGTAATTGGCCAACTGGAAGAAAAATACAGTGAGGAAAATAAGTCTCTAAAGAGAATACAACAGGCTAAATGGGGTAGGAGGTACAAAATCTAATAGAAGAAAACAATTTGTTAAAAATAGGAATTGGGCAAATGGAAGCTAATGATTCTATCAGAGAGTAAGAATCAGTCAAACAGAAACAAAAGAATGAAAAAATAGATGAAAATGTAAAATGCCTCATTGGTAAAACAACTGATCTGGAAAATTGATCCAGGAGAGACAATTTAAAAATTATTGGTCTACCTGAAAATCATGATAAAAAAAAAAAAAGATCATTGCAGTAGTTGAGGTGAGACACAATGAGACCCGGAGCTGAGGTGGTGACAGTGCCAATAGAGAAGAGAGGACAGACATAGGACATATTGTGGAAGTAAAATCCTCAGGATTTGTTAACCAGTTAAGTGTGGTATGTGGGGAAAGGATGTCAAGCATACAAGCCTTGGTGACTCAAGGATGACATCCACTGATAGATAATTAGGAACAGGGACTCCGCTAAGGGAAGAACTGAGGAATTCAGTTTTGTATATGCTAAGATTAAGGTATCAGTAAAACATCCAGGTGGAGATGTCCAGCAGGCATTTGGAGATGTGGAACTGTAGTTCAGGAGAAAGAGTATGACTGAATATACATATTTGGAAGTCATCTGCAGAGATAACATAATTGAACCGTGGGAATAGATAAGATCACCAAAGAGGAAAGTATAGCTAGAGGAGATGAGAGGTCTCAGAGCATAATCTTAGGGGATACAAATATATAGGGAACAGGAAGAGGACAAGTGAGTATTTTGCACCCCATATTTCAAACAAATAATAGATCCTCAGGGTTTCTTAATCTTCTTTGTATTAGCTGGTGAGTCATCCCAGAAATGGTTCCTAATAGTAGCCCTTTGTATAAGCACCTACTAAAAGAGCTGCTGTAGGGGATTTATGTATCACTAAAGAAGGGGTGACTCAGCAACAGATTCTCTGCCCAATTCAATCAACAAGCATTTATTAATTATCTACTATATACCAATAATTATGGTAGGTGCAAAGGATAGAGAAACAAAAAAAGAAACAATCTCTATTCTCTCAAGAAGCTTACATTATATCAAGAGAGATAACTAATGACTTATTTCTTTGATCATATATGAATACATGTGTGCATATATGGATTTACAAATTAGGAATGTATACAAAATAAATGCAAAATAAATCTAAGGTAGTTGGGAAGGAAGAGCTCTAGCATCAGGAAAGGCTCCATGTAGAAGGTGGTACTTAGGCTGCATCTTGAAAAATAATGTGAACGTCTCAGAGGCAGAGAAGGTGAGAATGAGCAAATGCATTCTCAGCATAGGAGATGGTCTGCGCAAAGGCACAAAGATAGGAGAGGGACTGTTGAGTGAGCAATAGTTACCAGCCATTTTGGCTGGACCATAGTGGGTTATGTGGGAAGAATAATCTGAGGTCAAGTTGTGCAGTCCTTTAAAAGCCAAATAAAGGAGTTTATATTTTATCCTAGAGGCAAGAGCCATTAGTTTTTTGAGTAAGAGAGTGGCATAGTCAAATCTCTGTGCGAGGAAAATCATTTTTATTAGTTGTGTGGAACATGGATTTAATTAGAGATTCGAATTAGACACTTGAAGAAGTGAGGTTAGTAGGGTATTATTCCAGGAAAGAAAATTCTATAGTTCATAGAGTTAGAGCTAGCAGGAACCTTACAGGCTATCTGGTCTAACTATTTCATTTCAGAAATAAGAAGATTAAGGTAGACAGAAGGGAAATGATGTACCCAGGGTCATACAGCTCATACGCGTCTAAGGTGAAATTTGAACCCAGGTCTTTCTGATTCCCAACTTCACTGCCTTGCCCACTCTGCCATTCTGCTTTATGTGATAAGAGCCTGAACTAACGTACAAGAGTAATTGTGGAAGTAGAAACAACATGATTTAGCAACTGATTGGAGATGAGGGGTAAGAGAAAGTGAGGAATTGAGGAAAGTACTGAGGTTAAAAACCTAGTAGACTGGAAGAATGGTGCTATTCTTGACAGACATAGGGAAATTTTTTGGAGGGGCTTGAGAGGAAAGACAATGCGTTCTATTTTGTATGTATTGAGTTTGAGATGTCTCCGGAGCTTCTGGTTTTAAATTCCAAGTAGATAGTTGGTTTTGTAAAACTAGGAGATCTATCTATCTATCTATCTATCTGTCTATCTATACACACACACACACACACATACACACACACACACACACAGATAGATAGGTAGGTAGATAGATAGATATACATACATATAGATAGATAAATAGATATAAATCTATATTATCTGCATAGCAATGCTCATTCAATCTATGGGAGTTGATGACGTTAATCAATAAACATTTATTAAGAGCCTACTATGTACCACGCATAGTGCTAAGCACTAGGCATATAAAAAGAGGCATAAGACAGTCCCTGCCTTTAAGGAGCTTACAATCTAGTCAGAGAGACAACACGAAAACAAATATATACAAAGAAAGCTATATGCAGAATAAATTGAAAATAATTAACAGAAGGAAGGCACTAGAATTAAGAGAGGTTAGAGGAGGCTTCCTATAGAAGGTGGGATTTTAGTTGGTATTTGAAACTAGGAAAGTCCCAGGGGGTTAGAGCAGAGGAGAGAGAGTGTTCCAGATATAGGCAACAGGTAAAAAAAATGCCCAGAGCTGAGAGATGGAATGTCTTATTCTTGGAACAGCCAGGAGGTTAGTGTTACTAGTTCAAAGAATAGGTGTGGGGAATAAGGTATGAGAAGACTGGAAAGGTAGGAGGAAGCTAGGTTATGAAGGGTTTTGAATGACAAACAGAGCATTTTGTATTTGCTTCTAGAGGCAGTAGGAAGCCACTGGAGTTGAGGGGGAGTAGGTGGTTGGGGTATGTAACATGATGGGACTTGCATTTTGGGAAAATCATATATTTTCCTAAAAATTAGATTGGAGCGGGTAGAAACTTGACAGACCAACCAGTAGTCTATTGAAATAATCCAGTTGTGAGGTGATGAGGGCCTGTACCAGAGTGGTGGTAGTGTTCAGAGGAGACAGAGGGTCATAATAGATATTGGAAAGGCAAAATCAGCAGGCCTTTGCAACATATTTGATGTAGGGGGATGAGAGATAGTAAGGAGTTGAGGATTGTTAGCCTGAGTGATTGGGAGGATGGTGTTGCCCTCTAGAGTAACAGGGAAGGTAGGAGGTGGAGGGAAGGGTTTAGGGCGGAAAATAATTATTTCCATTTTGGACATATTGAATTTAAGATGCCCATTGGACATCCAGTTTGAGATATGAGATTGGAGGTCAGCAGAGAGACTAGCACAGGATAGACAGATTTGAGAATCATTAACACTGAGAAGGGGAGATCACCAAGTGAAGTAGTATAGTGGGAGGGTAGAAGAGGAAGCAGGACAGAACCCTGAGGGATACCTAAAGTTAGAGGCTGTGATCTGGAGGAGGATCCAGCAAAGGAGACTGAGAAAGAGTGGTCAGATAGGTAGGAGGAGAACCAGGAGAGGGTGGTGTCCTGAAAACCTAGAGAGAAGAGAGAATCAAGGAGAAGAAGGTGACCAGGCTGCAGAGAGGTCATGGTCATGGAAAACCAGGATTGAGTAAAAGGCCATGAGATTTGGCAACTAAGTAATCATTAGTAACTTTGAAGAGAGCCTTTTTAGTGGAATGATAAGGTCAAAAGCCAGATTATAAGGGGTTAAGAAGAGAGAGAAAGGAGAGAAAGTGCAGGCATCTATTACGAACAGCCTTTTCAAGGAATTTCATTACAAAGGTCAGAAGAGATAATAATGATAGTAATAATAGCTAACATTTATATGGTGCTTACATGTGCCAGACTCTGTGCTTTATAATTATCATCTCATTTGATCTTCACAACAGCCCTAGGGGTTAGGTATTATTATATCCCCAATTTTACAGATGAAGAAACTGAGGCAAACTGGGATAAGTAACCTGCCCAGAGCCACAGCTAGTTTCTGAGGCTAGATTTGAACTCAGGCCTTCCTGACACCAGGCCTGGCCCTCCATCCACTGCGCCACCTACCTGTCTGCCTAGCACATAGTAGGCACTCCTTCCCTTTCTTCCACTGCACTCATATTACTGTGTGTAAAACACATCTCAGAGATTAAGAAGGATGTGTTTAAAAGACTTAGATGTAGGGATTAGATTATCAACGATAGTTTCTCTTCAGTCTTTCGTAGTATTTACTAAGTATTTCTTAAAATCTGAGTACATATTTTGGGAACCCACTACCTTAGCAACATAGGAAATTCAGCTGAGCAGGAACAATTATCAGGTAACTAAATTGCAATGGTAAATAAGAGGCATAAGCGTTCACTCTTTCGTTTCTTTTATTTCTAGGATTTGTAGTATTCCCTGTTCCAATGTAGAGAACAGCTGCTCTACCATTTAATAGATGATTTTTGAGAATAATTGTGACTGAAAAAATGAGTCAATCTGTGACCTACCTGGTAATGAGCCTTTCCAAAATAGGAATAGGGGATCATCTGACTGATCCTCAGAGCCCTTCCAGCTTAGTAGAACACCTCAGAGCTTGCACTTCACAGATTCATCCTTCAAGAATCCAGGATTACCTTCAGATCTCAGTGAGACACTAGATTGTAGCAAACTTCATTGCTTTTTAATTCAGAAATGGGGTTGTGGGATTTGGGGTTGTTTTGTTATTTTTAATTTTGATAATGAAATATTAAAAAGTACACTATTGAGGCAGTACTAGGCCTTTGCTGTTGTGATGAATTCTTTTTAAAAATTGTTAATATATTTTGTTCATTTCCTCTCCCTCCCAGGTTATTAAGGAAACACATGAATACATTTCTTAATGGCAAAAGTGGACTCAGGGTATTTTTCCCTCTTTGCGGAAAAGCAGTTGAAATGAAATGGTAGGAACAGATATATACTAGTAATTTTTCTTTCAGTGATAGTATAATGGATTCCTCAGACAATTTTAAAATGACATATGGAAGAAATGTATATGAGCAATACTTCATTTTAAGTATTTTCAAAAGTTTTTTAGAGTACTTAGTTATAGAGGAATTTTTTTAATTAAGAGAAACTATGAAATTATGTTCCTAAACTGGAAGGATAGGGAGATGGTTGTAGCTTGTAGCACAGCATTTTTGTAATTTACCCATAAGCAAAAAGAAGTGCTTTGAAACCAGGAGGAAAGACAGGTGTCACAGAGGCAGCTTGGGAGGGTAGAAAGAAAACTGGATTTGGAGCCAGGACAACCAGGTTTGACTCTGCCCCTTTCTTCCATAGTGACCTTATTTTCTCTGAGCCATTCAGCTCACTGTCATTTAAAATCAGATTTGGAGTTCTAATACAAATTTTGAAGAAATTACATTGAAGAAAAAGTGCTGTTGTGCATTTGTAGAAGGAATTTAGCTCATCTGGCATTTTCTCTCTACCCATGGAATCATTGATCTGATAAAACCCCAAACAAAACAACTAGAGAATAAACACTAACAATGCTGTTTTCTCTGTACAGGTTTGCTGACCTGGGTTATAGTGTAGTTGGAGTTGAAATCAGTGAACTCGGCATACGAGAATTTTTTACTGAGCACAATCTGTCTTACTTAGAAGAATCAATTGCAGGAATTTCAGGAGCCAAAGTATTTAAGGTTTGTTTTGTCTGTTTTTTACGCAAATACATACTTATCTCTCTAAAAAGTTTATGTAATTTAAGCATTTTCTGAGGGCCAAGTTGTATGTGATTGGCAAGAATGGAAGGAAACACAATTTTGTAATTTCTCTGACTGTTACATAAACATACTCATAGACTTTTTTTTCACTTTTAGACTTTTGATTCAACAATCTCAAGTCTTCTCAGTATTTATTATTCATAAAAAATGAGTTAATTTAGGAAGAAATCTTGAAACTTTTCTGGGCCTAGTCCACTGGTGACCATTGAGCTTAGGAGTCCAGCACTCTTTGCCACATGTCTGGATCAGATTGTTGATGCCACAGTCTCCTCACCCAGAGTCAAGACATATCTTACATCAATTTTTAGTCAGAGCTATGTGTGGCTTGGGATATTACTGTATATTCTCCTGAATTTCAGAAGCAGCAACCCTCAAGCAGCATCCTGGTAGAAATGACTTCACATGTCTCCCTATCTTATAGACACTGTATCTCCAGTGCCCAGTTCCTCCTCCCATGCAAGGTGGGATGATGGAAGAAGTACTGCCATTTACTACCTCTGTGATCCTAGGCAAGTCACTGTAACTCTTTGGGCCTCAGCTTCCTTATCTGTAAAATGAGGAGATAGCATTAACTAAATGATCTTTAAGGCAGCTCTAAATCTTTGATCCTGTGACCCCAGAATAGACAAAAATCATCTTCCGCCTGATTGGACAATAACTGTACTACCCTAATCACCTAATTTATCAATCACACAAAAAGTAATTAAAGGTCATTAGCTAGATAGCCCAGAGGAAGATAGTCATGAAATTCTATATGTCACATACTAGCTGTGTGACCATGGGCAAGTCATTAAATTTCTCTTAGCCTCATTTTCCTCTTTTGTATAAGGGACTAAGACTCATTGGCCTTTGAGGACCCTTCTGGCTCTAAATTTATTCTCCCTTGATTCTGTGAAAGCATGAGGTAGTAGACAAATTTTAGGACTAAAAGTTACAAGACCTAAGTTCTAGTGCCAGCTTGATTTCTTAGCACTTAGCCCAGTGCTTCTATGTAATACTAAATTCTCATTAATGAATGCTTATTGACATGACTTAACTAGTCACTTGCTGTGTGACTAACTGTAAGTCTGGGATCCAGGTTTCTTGTGTGTAAAATGATAGGTTTGAACTAGATTCTTTCTAAGGACATTGAATGTTTATTGAAAACCTATAATATGCTGGGCACTATGTGGAAATAGAAAAAAAAATTAAAGCATAGTTCCTACACTCAAGGAGTTTGTAATCTAGTTGAGGGAAAGGCCATATACATGAAGACCTTACTGGATAGTATGTAATTAGTGGCAGGGGCATAGTATGGAATTGTAAAGTCTGTAGTTCAAGGAGGGAGAAATCATTGGGTAGTCAAGGGAGGCCTCACAGAACAGGTGGGTTTTAAGCTGTGTTTTGGAAAGTTGGTAGGTTTCAGAGAGGCAGGGTAGAAGTAATGGCCCAAAGATTACAGTAACTAAACCAATCTAAGACTGAAACCCCCTATACAGGTAGGACTCCATCCTGGAAGAAAAGGAATTGTATTGGGGAAATAGAAGCAAACTTTATTTGATAAACTCAGTCCCCAGTAAAAGTCTCTTCAGACAACTAAGAGGAAGCGTATGCTACAGTGAAAAGAACATTAGATTCAGGGCCTGAAGAGGTCTGAGTTCAAATCCCTTCCCTGATACTAATTCTGGAACCATGGCAAATTACTTCTCATCCCTTACGCTCACTTTTCTCAGTTTGTAAGATGGACATAGTCATACTTATAACTTAACCACACAGGTTTGTGATAAAGATCAATAATGATAATAGCTAACACTTATGTAGAGCTTACTATGTGCCAGGCACTGTGCTAAGGGCGATCTGATCTCATTTGATCCACACAACAACCTTGTGAGGTAGGTGATGGTATTATCCCCATTTTACAGACAAGGAAACTGAGGTAAACAGAGGTTAAGTGATTTGCCCAGGATCCCACAACTCCTGGATTTGAACTTGGGCCTTCCTGACTCTAAACTCAATACTTTACCTACTGCGCCAGGATCAAATGAAATAAAATGTGTGAAGTGCTTCACAAATCTTAAAACAAAATATAAGCATCAATGATTATTATTTTTTATGTCCAGTACTTGGTAAATGGAAGGTAGTAGAGAAAATTCTCTTCCATCAGCCAAAAGGGAGTTAGAATGATGCTACCTTTCAGTAAAAGACTTTAGAAAAACATCAGGGTTTCAGTCTGCCTTTTGGTAAACAGATTTATCTTAACAGAATCAGAATATTGGAGGAGAAAGCAAGTATCCCTAGAGTTGTATGTAGCAAGTTCTGAAATGAATAACATATGCTGATGTGCCTAGATGAGTGTGTATCTGTGAGCTCAATCTTTTACAACACCCAGGACAAATATCTTTTATACTAAAATGAGGAACTATTAAAAGATTATGATAAAGCTATATTATAGAGATTTAATTTTTTTTAATCCTTTTATCTTTCCTTTAATTTTATCATTCCCTCTCTGTCCATCTACTTTTTTGGACTTTCATTTTCCTATCTTTCTCTGATTACCCACAAAGTATTGTTATTTTCTGAATTTATGTTGTTGTTTCAGAGCTCATCAGGGAATATCACTTTATACTGTTGCAGTATTTTTGACCTTCCCAGGTAGGAATAAATGATATGTCTGAAACCACATGCCTGGCAAGAATACTTGTAGGGCCTTTTCATCTGGGCAAAATATTTGCTATAGCACACACATAGGATCAATTTTATTTTTAATTCCATATGTTTTTTTTTAAGTTATAGGTAGAGATGTCTTCATTATACCTAATTAGTACCTTTGACCTTGACTAAAACATTCTTATATAGTTCATTTTTTTTTTTTAGGCAGTTGTGGTTAAGTGACTTGCCTAGGGTCACACAGCTAGTGTGACATGTTTAGTCTGAGGCAGGATTTGAACTCTGGTCCTCCTGACTTCAGGGCCGTGCTCTCTCCACTGCACCACCTAGCTGCCCCCAAATGTCTGTCTGGGAAGCCCCCTTTATTTTATTTATTTATTTTGTATTTTTGTATTTTGCTAGGCAATGGGGTTAAGTGACTTGCCCAGGGTCACACAGCTAGTGAGTGTTAAGTGTCTGAGGTCGGATTTGAACTCAGGTCCTCCTGACTCCAGGGCCAGTGCTCTATCCACTGCGCCACGTAGCTGTCACCTTTTTTTTTTTAATTTTTTAGGCAGTTGGGGTTAAGGACATTGCTCTTTTTAAAAAAAGGGGGGGGGGTAACAGTTTCCTTGCTCGTTCATCTGTTCCCTGGTTTTACACAACCCTTTTAATATAGGGTAGAGGTAATTTGGGAAGAGTCAGGATACCATTAACTCTATCGTGAAATCACAGCATTAGCCCCAAGGGGGAAAAAAATCATAAAAACAAGAAAAGAAGCTGATCTTTTTGCGCTTGTTTCCCTGTGGCACCCTTTGGGGGTTAAGGTAGACTGTCATTTCACCTATGTATTGAACTACTGGTATGGAATTGCCCTCCACTAATACAACTAAACTTCTCTGTAACTTACAGACTTTTCCCCTTCCATTAAAGGTTAATTTTTATTTATTTATTTTTACTTGTAGGGCCAATGTTGGCAAATTTGACAGGATTTGGGATAGAGGAGCCTTAGTTGCTATTAATCCAGATGACCGAGAACGGTTAGTACTTTGGTTTGCTTTTTTAAAATGTGCTCTCAGGAACTTTTTTAAAAACATGTTTTATAGCTTTTTAACTTATGAATAAATAGAATCATCTCGATTTTATTAGCTTTCAAAAAATCCTTTGCTGTATCTTTGGTAGTTTTGTTTTTATTATTACTATCTTATTAGGAAAAACAAACATGATACTACATAATAATTAAAAGTGCTGTTATACAAGATTTTCTGTTTAATATCTACACATATATATTTGTAATCATCAAAACAATAGTAAATAATAATTATATAATTTGGTTGAAGTTACAATTCTTATATTAATTAAGCCTAACTTGATCATAATAAGGGAAATTGTATAATATGGTTGATCTTGATTTTTCATGATTTAGTAGGATTTATTGCCATATTTGAACTTGATAAGTTAAGAGGTATCATCTGAATACAAACCTGTAATTTAGCAATATTCTTATTAAAATTATTTTAATTGCTTTCTACCTTATCCTACCATAATGTCTGGCACATAGTCAGTGTTTAATAAATTCTTGTTGATTAATTGATACAAAATGTTATGTGTATGTGAGGTTTATCACTGTTTATATGAGAAAATGAACCTCTGACTAAGTAAACTACATAAAATTTCTTTCTTAGAGGAAAATTGATGACAGATTTGAAAAGTTTTGGGGTAAGTTAGTTTACACCTGCATGGAAGTGAGAATGTTATAAAGATAATAACAGTTGTATTTTCAAATTGTAGCTGGATTGAGCAACTGAGAAAGAACTTTGTAAAAGTTTACTTTGTCATTTTCTAACGTTCTTCCCTTCTCTGTTTTGCCCTTTTTTTCTTTCTCATGACCTCTTCATCAAATATCCTTTAAAAAAAAAAAGAAAAAGAAAACCCCTTTATTCCTCTATTTTTCTGGATGTAACAGTTTTCTTCCTTTGTAATTGGGGTATAAAAGAATACTTCAGGCTGCCCTCTTAAAATTACTGGAGAGGCATTTACAACACATGATTCCCCTAGAGATTATATCACAGAGACTTGCTATCCAGATGTTAATTACCTCCATGTAATATAGCAAAAACCTCATTAAATCAGACTTATTGAATAGAAGGTCACTTGGAATAAATTAGGTATTTGAATTTTCTAATATTATGAAAGAAATGGTGTTTTATTGCTATACATACAATAATTGACAAGTAATCTACATATTCACTATATGTATACAACACACACACACATAATTGACAAATAAAGCCTTTCTGTGGCTGTTTAAAAAAATAGGTAACTGAATTCTCTGCAGTATTTGATGTTGTTAGCTATGCACACTTTAATGAAACCGTCTTCTCCCCTGGCTTTTGTGATACTGTATTCTTTTCCTTATCCTCCTACTTCTTTTACCACTCCTTGCTCTCTGTTTAGGACTTTCTTCTCCACCGTTTGAAATGTGGGCCTTACCTAAGTTTCTTTCCCCAGGCTTTTGCCTCAACTGTTTTCTCTCTATGAATGACTCTCACCTCTCTGTCTTTACTCCAGCCTTTCTCCAAAGCTATTGTCTCTTGTTTTCAGCTACTTCCCCTAATTGCCCAGCATCACCTCTTTCAACATGCTTAAAATGGAACTCATCATCTTTCCCTACTCCAACTCATATCCTCTTTCTGACTTAGCTTTTTGTGTTCATTTCATCACTAATCTTCCTGTTGACAGGAGCTATATTTCTGAAAATATATGGAAGCTACTTTGTAAATGAACTATAGTTTCTATTTGTTTGTAATTTCAAAAATCTTCTGTCTATGGTTAACTTTCCATTGCAGGTAGCCCCTACTATTTCTGTTTTATATTTCTCTGCTTCCCAGACACTGTCATGTAATTAATGAATCTGTAAGAAGGTAGCCTGATATTTAAAAAAAAATAAAACCTCCAGAGGGGTTTTTCTAAAGTGAAGAATATTTTCATATAGCAAATGGCATTGCTCCTCTAACCCCTGGCCACCAGTGTCTCTCTTTTTTGAAGCTTTGATATTGTTTTTTAAAAGCAAAGCACTTCTGCATTCATTCTTCCAACCTTTCATAGTGACCAATTTATATGGTGCATAATGCTTCAAAATGCTTTGCAAAGACATAAAATATTTCATTTCGCTAGATCTTCTCTTGGACAGATTATACTTATTCCTTGGAATTATTGACTCAAACACCTGTAGGAAATAGAAGAAACTTTTAGGCCTACTCAAAAGGAAATATATTGCATTAGCAAAATTCCTCACTGCTGTTAAGGCTCCTTTCTCTTTTTTACCAACATGATGGGGCAGCATCTGTAGTCAAGGCCGTGACCAATATGACTGTAGCACTTGTCAGTTATGAAAGTTGCTGAGGAGAGAAAATGGAGAGAATGGAACTCATTCTCTTTTAGGATGAAATCATATCTTAAAGTTTGAAGGTTTATTTCCTAGTTCATTCTGAAGAAATTGGAGGATGACCTGCTGTAAACCTGACAGAGCTAACCATTTTCCAGCTACAGAGACACAGCTGCCCTTTCTCCTTTTGCCACTGACCCAAAAGACTAAAGAAAATCCCAAAAGGCCAACCTAGAAAATTACAAAGCTATCATGAGTAAACTAGAAGAACATGGAACATATCAGACTTACAGATAGGAGAAGAATTTATGAATAAATAAGAGATAGAGAGCATTAGGAGATCTAAAGTGGGTAATTTTGATTACATTAAATTAAGAAGGTTTTGTACAAATAAAAACAATGTAGCCAAGATTAGAAGGAAAGCAGAAAATTGGAGGGGAGGATTTTATAGACATTTTCTCAGATAAGGGTCTCATCTCAAATATATAGAGAACTTTGTCAAATTTATAAGAATGTGAGTTGTTCCTCAGTTGATAAATGGTCAAAAGCAGTTTTTTGATAAAGAGAAAAAGCTATATGATTGTCATGAAAAATGCTTTAAATCATTATTGATCAGAGAAATGCAAATTAAAACAACTTTGAGATATCATCTCAAATCTATCAGATTGACTAAAATGATAGAAGGGAGAAATGACAGATGTTGGAGGGGATGTTAGAAAATTGGGACACTAATACACTGTTGGTAGAATTATGAACTGATCCACCCATTTTGGAGAACAATCTGGAATTATGCCCAAAGAGTTATTAAACTGACACAGCAATACCACTATTAGGTCTGTTTCCCAAGGTGATCAGGGAAAAAGGAAAAGAACCTATACATTCTAAAGTGTTTATAGCAGCTCTCCTTATGGTGGCAAAGAATTGGAAATTAAGGGGATGCCCATCAGTTGCGGAATGGCTGAACAAGTTGTGGTATATGATTGTGATGGAGTACTGTGCTGTAAGAAATGACAAGCAGGTTAATTTTAAGAAAAAGGGAAAGACTTGCATGAAATAATGAAGAGTAAAATGTGCAGAACCAAGAGAATGTTGTACATGGTAACGATAATATTTCCCACAGCTTAAGGAGTTTGCACTAAAGAAATTGAATGCAGTGGTCAGTGACTTCTGGGCAGAAATTTCAGAGTCTATAGACAAAGTAAAAGTCCTGTACGAAGATGGAAGTTTTCATAGTTGTCACTTTGCTGCCCTCATGGCATCCAAAGTGTTCTATCACCTGGGGGCTTGTGAGGAGTCTCTGAACTATACTCTGGGATCCGGCAATCTCTTCAGTGTCAATGACAATTCAGAATATGTGGAGACCATCATAGCTAAATGCATTGACCAAGCAGTGTGTGGAGAATGCCAAGTTGCCCAAGGGGGAAAGAAAGCCTGTCGACCAGAGACTAGAAGGGATCATGAGCAAGATGTTTCAGAGGTGTCTGGATGATCACAAGTACAAATAGGCCGTCAGCATCTCTCTGGAGACCTGCAGGCTGGACTTCTTTGAGAAGACCATATTGGAATCGAATGCTGTCCCTAGGATGCCGGCTTACAGCCTCAAGCTCTACATGTCTCTAATGCAGGATAAATAGTTCTGTAATAGCGTGCTGAGAGTTCTGGTTAAAATTTACATGAATGTGGAGAAGCTGGACTTCATCAATGTTTGCCAGTGCTTGATTTTCTTAGATGATCCTCAGGCTGTGAGCGATATCTTGGGGAAGTTGGTCAAAGAGGACATACTCCTCATGGCCTATCAGATCTGCTTCGACCTGTATGAGAGTGCCAGCTAGCAGTTCCTGTCCTCCGTAATCCAGAACCTCCATCAAATGGGCACGCCCATTGCTTCTGAGCCTGGCTCAGCCAACACAGGCGTTGTGCCCAGGGCTGAGAAGGAGAGTGAGAGTATGGGAAGAGAAAGAAAGAAAGGCCACACATTTGTCGGGAAGTCCCCAGAAGTGAACAGAGCCCAGGGAGCAGTGTATGACAAATAAAAGAGGACCTTATATGAAACCATTTGAGTTTATGTGAATATTGAATTTAATTTTGTAGTATCAAAATTCCCTTTTTTGTATCCACTTCTGAGTGTTTTGATTATCTTTCTATATTTTATTTTATTTTTTATTACCTAGCATATCTCTTAGAAATGCAATGTTAGAAAAATACAAATAGTATCCATTTTAAATCCTATGCATTTAACACCTTTTTAAAATAAATATTCATTCTCAGTAACAGTAATATTAGTAGCAATCCTACCCTGTTAAGACATTGCATTGAAATAGATTTTTTGTTTTTGTTGGTAGCAATATGATATGCTGTATTTTAACTATTCCTTTTTGATAATGTGGTTCATTACCTACATTTTAATTTAGAACAACACTGAAGCACAGAAGTAAATTATATTGAAATAAGGGTGTTGTAACATAAATATCCTTTTGTTTTTCTTTCGTTAATTGTCCCTTCCTTTTTTATCCCCAATCTCCCATTGAGCATATTTTTTAGAAGTAAAAAAATAAAGTCCTCATTAGATAGCTGCATAATTTAAACAAATTCCATTTTAAAAATTCCCAAAATGACTATGTCCAAAAATGTATGTCTTTTTCTGCACCTCTCTCTCAGGAAGTGATGACATGTTTCATTTTCACTGTTTTGAATTTATGATTTATCATTGTGTTGATTAGAATTCTAAAATCTTTTGAAGTTTTCCTCTTAATGCTGTTATAATAATAAAATTGCATATTGTTATCATTTTATAAATTGTTCTCCAAGAAGATATGGGAAAATTGAAACATTAATACATTGTTGGTGGAGTTGTGAACTGATCCAACCATTTTGGAGAGCAATTTGGAACTATAAAAATGTGCATACCCTTTGACCCAGCAATACCATTTCTAGAGACTCTATCCCAAAGAGATCATAAAAATGGGAAAGGGCCTCACATGTACAAAAATGTTTATAGCAGCTCTTTCTGTGGTGGCAAAGAATTGGAAATTGAGGGGATGCCCATCTATTGGCGAGTGGCTGAACAAGTTGTGGTATATGAATGTAATGGAATACTATTGTGCTATAAGAAATGATGAGCTGGCAGACTCCAGAAAAACCTGGAAAGACTTGTATGAACTGATGCTGAGTGAAGTGAGCAAAACCAGGAGAACATTATACACAGAAACAGCCACGTTGTACAATAACTAACTTTGATAGACTTAGCTCTTCTCAGCAATGCAAGGATCTAAGACTTCTCCAAAAATCTCATGATGGAAAATGCTATCCACATCCAGAGAAGGAACTATGGAGTTTGAATGCAGTTTGAAGCATACTATTTGCTCCTTTTTTTTTCCTTCTGTTTTATTTTGTTTTTTATTTCTTGTGGTTCCTGTTGGTTCTAATTCTTCTTTACAACATGACTAATGTGAAAATATGTTTAATTTGAATGTATATGTAGAGGCTATATCAGATTGCATACTATCTTGGGGAGGGAGGTGAAGAGGGAGGGGGAGAAAATTTAAGAGTTAAAAGCTTATGGAAGTGATTGTTGAAAATTTAAAATAAATTAATTTTAAAAACAGCATAAAATAAATTTTTAAAAAATTGTTCTCTGAGTTCTGTTCATTCTACCCTGCATATGCTTATAGATCTTTACAGTTTTCTTTGAAATTATCCATTTTGTGATTTCTTATGACAGTAATATTCCATTGCATTTGTATACTACAATTTGCTTAGCTATTCCCCAGTAGGAGAAAACTCCCTTGATTTCCAGTTTGAGGCTACCATAAAAAAGAGCTGCTATATTTTTTATACACTTTTTGATCTATGCAGAGTATAGACCAAGTGTCACTATACTTGAATCACAGGGTGTACGCAATTTAGTAACTTTGGAGGTTTAGTTTCAAATTGCTTTCTAGAATGGGTAGGGCAATTCATAGCTCCACCCAACAATATATTGGTGTATCTGTTTTCCCATAGTCCCTCAAAATGGTTGTCATTTTCCTCTTTTGTCCTCTTTGCTAATCTGGTGGGTGTGAAGTACAGAATCTTAAAGTTGCTTTAATTTTCATTTCTTTATTAGTGATTTTTGCCATTTTTATAAGGTTGTTTATATCTTGGATTTATTTGAAAATTGCCTATTCATATCCTTTGCCCACTTACTTCTTGGGGAATGTCTCTTAGTCTTACAAACTCGAATCAGTTTCTTATGTATCTTAGAAATGACTCCTTTGTCAAAGAAACTTGTTCCATGTATGTTTGGAGATGAGACTTATTAGAGAATCTTCCTGCAAAGATTTTTTTCTCCAGCGAATTTGTTTCTCCTCTCATTTTAACTACATTAGATTAGTTTGGGCAAAAGCTTCCTAATTTTATGTAACCAGAATTGCCTGTTTAACTTGTGTGATCCTTTCTATTGTTTGTTTAGTCATGAGCTCTTCCCCTATGCAAGTGTCTGAAAGGTGATACTTCCTTTATCCTCTTATTTTTGATATTTCCTTTTATATCTAGGCCATGTATACATTGTGTTCTTTACAAAGGATGAGGAAACCCTTTTCTTAAGTTTTTATCTGGAAACCAAAATTCTACTTATTCTACAGACTGCCCTTTCATCCCATACCCCTTTCATGGTCCTCAGGCCCCTATTGCCTCCATGTAAGCCCTTCCCTCTTTCCCCCTAAAAAACCCTAAACTTCAAAAACATTCTTATAGATTCTTGGCAGAAGTGTTGTTTCAAACCTAGTAGTAAGAAAGATGATGGCTACCAGGTCTCTGCCTTCCCTAGTACATGCTCCACATACCTGCTAAACATAATTTTCCTAAGGCAAAGGTTTGGCCTGACTTTCCTCTAGGATAAAATACATCTCCTTGACTTGGCATTAAAGCCTACCATTATCTAGGACTGTTCTATTGTTACAGCTTATTTCATTTTGAGGAACACAGTAAGGCGTTGTGCAAGGTAGACAGCAGTAAAAATGCATAGACAAAAATTAAATAAAAAGGTAGACAAAGGTAAAAATGAAAATACATTCACATTCTGTTTGTGAGCTTATATTCTTCAAGGAATATGGCATATAAACAGGTAAGTAAAATTACAAAATAAGATGCAGAGGGAAAGAATGCTAATAGGTAGGGAGATCAATAAATGCCTCTTAAAGGATAGCACATATGCCTTCAAGGATCCTAAAGGGTTCCAAGAAGTGGAGATGAAGAGGGATTGCTTTCCAGGAGTTGTGGACAACCTGCTGTTCAAAGGCATGCAGAGGGGATATAAAGAGCATGTAGGCTAGTTTGGCTAGAGCAAAGAGCGTGTGTAGAGGAGTGATGAGAAATAAATCTGGAAAAGTGTCTGGAGCCAAATTGTGAAGGGTCTCAAGTGCCACACTGAGGAGCAATGAAATAACATTTTTTATAAAAAGTGCTTAGCAGAGTGCCTGGCACATAGTAGGCACTACCTAATCGTTTATTCCCTTCCTCTTTATCTTAGAGAGAACAGGAGCCACTGAAGATTCTCAAACAGGAGTGAAATGGTCAGACTTCTGAGATTTTTATTAAGAGTATGTGCAGAATGGGTTAGGGAGAGGAGAGGGTAAAATCAGATTAGGAAACAATTACAATAAACCTAAATGAGATTTGACAAGAGACTAAACTAGGATAGGAGTTTATTGAATAGAGAAAAGGGAATAGATATGTGAGATTGTTCAACCAAACTCACCTCAGTGTTAAATATTTCTGGAATGCCTTCCCAGACTTTGTAGCTATCTCTCAAAATTGAAGTTCCTATGCAAAGCCTTTCCTGAACCTAGCAGCGCACCCCACCCCTGATTGTCCTCATTGTCCTCAAATCACCTTGTGTTTTATTCATACACTTGTTTCATTCCTCAGTAGAACCTAACCTCCTGGACGGTAAGTTTGTTTGCCTAGTGCCTTGCCTATCACTTCAAACATAGTAGTTCCTAAGAACTTTGACCAAGTCATAGCCAACTATTATTCCAGAGGACCAATAATGAAACCTGTTACCCATCTCCTAATGGATAGGTAGGGAGATCAAGGTAGAGAATGAGCCCATTTATTTTGGACATGGCTAGTGAGGGAATTACTTTTGCTTGAGTATGTATGTTTTTCATGAGGGTTTTATTTTTTTTCTTTTCTTCCCCCCCCCCCCCCCCGGTGATAGGAGTGAGAGGTAGAAGGGAGAGAAATTGATTTTTGGTAACTGAAAAAAAAGTAAACTTTCATTTAAAACTACGGATAAGTGCTTAATAAATGTTTGCATCAAATTGAATCCAATCAGATCTATTTTCTGAGTACATTTTTGTTTGGGTACGTGTATATGCAAGTATTATCGTGTTTTCTGTTATGACTCATAGCACTAGAATAAGGCCATTAACCCTTCCTCTCTCAGATTTCTATGAGTTCTGTGATGCTGATCTGATTAGGACTACAAGCCCCCATTCCAGTATGAAAGTTTGGTGTCCCCTATAGGACCTTACACATTTCTCTTTAACCTTTCTTGATAATAATGCTGTCTATTGAAAATTTGGCAAAAAAAAAACTTGGCAAATTTAGATGCTTTGAGTAGAATTTCATTTTATAAGAAATTGTTTTTTAAATTTGAGAAAGGTCTGGTTTTACTTTGTTGGAATGAGTGCCAAACCACTTTAACCAAATCTTGATTTCCCCCTTCCCTAAATTCCTACAGCTTTTAGTCTGTACAACACATTTTAGCACTTAATTATACCCTGTCTTCCTATCTTTATAAAACTTTTGTATGTGAGATATTTTGGCTTTTACTTTACACAGAAAAGTAATATACATAGCCTTTTGTTTTCTTTTTTAGCTATGCCAAGTTAATGTTGTCTCTATTGGAAAAGGGTTTTCACTATTTCCTGATTACTTTTTCATATGATCCAACTAAATTTTCAGGTAAGTATTTTTTTAACTCCAAATAATAAGAAACTCATCGAATTAATGTTTAAGAGTTTATAAATGAGTTCCTCATAATAACCATGTGAAAGTATAATTATTCATATTTGGAAATGAGAAAAATTAAAGCTCAAAAGAGAATTGTTATGACTACAGTCATGCATCTACAAAGAAAGTGGTAGATACAGGTCTAGAATCCATAGTTTTTTGGTTCCAGATTCTATGCCCTTCCTCTCTTACAAATCTGTCACTCTTTAAAATAATGAGTTATAAAACTAAGAGAATGGTTTTTGCTCCATTTATCTTATTGGAATCCTTTGTGTAAGTTAAAATAATTCTAGCTGGTAAAGTGAATAGGTGCTCATGTGTAAGAATAATATAGAAGCTATTGAGTTGTATGTACCTTTTGACCCAATCACAGAAAGAAGGAAAAGGTCTTATATGTCCTTTTTATTCATATCAACCCTTCTTGTGGTGGCAAAGAATTGGAAACTGAGGGGATACTTAAAAATTAGGGAATGGCTAAATAAGTAAGTTATGGTATATGAATGCAATGGAATACCGTTATGCTGTAAGAAATGATGAAGGGGATGATTTCAGGAAGACCAGGGAAGATCTATATGAACAGATGCAGAATGAAATGAGCAGAACCAAAAGAACAACTTATAAAGTAACAGCAAGACTGTAAAGATAAATTTGAAAGACTTAATAACTCTGATCAACACAGTGACCGACCACTGTTCTAACAATTCGTGATGAAACATGCTATCTACCATTTCACAGAAAAATGATGGACTCAAAATGCAGATTGAAGCATATTTTCTTCTGTTTTCTTCTGCTTTTTTATTTATCATGGCTAATATGGGAATTTGTTTTACTAGACTGTACATATTTGTAATGGTTTCTATTTTTGTTGTCTTTCTCAATGGATGGGGCAGAGGGAGGGAGAGAATTTGGAGCTAACCATAAAATTGAATTTTTAAAAATTTGAAAAAAGAATAATATAATTTGTATGAAAATGTGATATATTGAAAAAGGTAACTTTTTCCATTAGCTTATCATCTTTTTTATTCAGTCTCACATCAGACTGGAAAAGTGTCTGTGTAGGGAAAGATTTATAGCCCTGTGTATTTACAGAAAAGAGAGCTTAAATGAGCTTTGGACTTGAGGAAGGGAAAGATCAGTCGGCCCCATGATGGATGGTTTCAACACATTTCCACATTCATGGTGTGTTTTGCTTGTGAATACTTGTGTTTACTCACTACCATAATGGTGGAGAAGGTATGGACTAGGAGCGATTAAAGAGGTGTACAAGGATGTGAGTGTTTCAACATTTTGCTATTATTTGGTTTCCATGCTCTTATGATTTAATCTTTTATTTACCTTGTGATTTGAATTTGTCAGTGAACCAAAATGGTTTTAGCTTTCACCTAGTACCTCACTGCCCAAAGAATAAATTACCATCTTTCTTTTTAATTTATAGAAGGGTATTTATTTTTGTCCTTGTTTTATTTATTTTGTTTGGCCTGATTGAATTTTAAAGTTTAACTATGCACATGGCTAATCCAGTTCTCCAGAAGAGTATGGGGGGAAAATGCATCATATTTTTGATGTGTGAAAAATTTCAAATTAATTATTAGTTATGCTCTTATTAGACCTGTTTGTGGAACAAGGAGCATTTTTGTTTCTTTTCTATTTTTGTTTCTTTTCCATTTTGAAAATCACATGTTCATCCTAAAAATTCATAGTAAATTCATCACAAAACAAGATTTAATGTCTATAAATAACTATATTATTTGATGGAAACAGATTCTGTACTGCTTGTTACTATACTGTGATTTTATAAGAATATAGAAGGTAGCCAAAAAAAAGTGCAGAGCAGAAAATTTTTGTTAGGAATGCTATGCATGAGGGCAAAGAGTTATGGGTGTGTATAGGAAGAAATAGACAAGGAGTACCCCCAGGAAATATTAGAAATTCTATGGAACATTCCTTATTATATTCCTGTCCTAGCCGCAGCTTCGCCATGCCCATTTCCCCTACCTTTACAATGTAGGAATGGCAGGAAGCACTGTGAATTCATTCCTAATGAAATTCCATTCTTTGGAAAGAATAGATACAGAGAAGCGAGTATTCATTTATTTCTTTGAGTAGTCTCACTTATTAGAAAGTTGGGCTTTGTGTGTAATAAATGAAATGAAAAAATAGCTTGTTACTTTTTAGAATTGAGAGAATTTCATTTCTTTTCACTGTATTTCTCTCATGTATCTTTTTTTAGGTCCACCATTTTATGTTCCTGACAGTGAAGTTAAAAGTTTGTTTGGTGAGTTACCAAATTATGTTTGTAGTTTTCCTTAAAAAAAAAAATTCGACAACTAATTCTGTTAGACTGTCAGTTTACTGTCAGAATAATAACAGTGTCATGTTAAGTATTGCAGTGTTTCATTATTAGAAGTGTATTACATTCAGATACAGTCACTCTAATGTGACTCTTACAGTACCCTATGAGGTAACTAGAACAAGTTTTATTACTCCCATTTTATAGATGAGGCAACTAAGTCTCAAGAGAGTTGCTGTTTGCACAAGGTTGCACAGTTAGTAAATGACAGTACATTCTTTTCCCAACTAGTCTATAGTGCCTCTAAAAATCTAGAAATATATGTAATATGAAATCATGAAACTGTTCCATTAAAACATGAGAAATTTGAGAAATCACAATTTAGGAGATTTTGCCACTAGTAATTCCCCTATTTTATTGAAATTACTCTGGCATACATGATTTTAAAAGACATTTGAAACATGACAGTATAAGCAGACAAAATTTTAAAAAATAATTCCACAGTTACTGGACTAAGCTCCCTCACAGCAAGAACCATGTCTTTATATGTGATGTTTCTCTCATTCTATGTGTCATGAAGAGTGAATGAATGCATCATCCCTCACAATATTAAACTTCAGTCCTTTTTTTCTTGTTCCAGGCTCAACATGTAATATTCAGTGTCTTGAGAAGGCTGATGCTTTAAAAGAAAGACATAAAAAATGGGGAATTGATTACTTTATTGAGATTTTATATCTCTTTACAGAAAAATAAATTAAAATTAAAGCTGCATAATATTTGGTAACATAACCCAAATCTTGTATGTATCTTTACCTCTTTTAGCTACTAACAGTGACTGTGACAAGAAAAATGTAATGAACATCTTTGAAAGTTTTTTTTTTAAAACTATCATTACATACCACTTGTAGTATCTATTGGAATATGCATGTAACTTCAAGAGGGGCTACTATTTTATTATGCTCATGATGATTGCAATGTTGAAATTAAACATTTTAATTTGAACAAAATTTGTAAATAAAAAATTCCTCATGCCACTTTTCTGCATCCTTAATTCATGTCCCCACAAAATCTAGTTCAAGCAGTTTTGTATTTTAATACATTTGATGTCTTTATTGCTTGTAAATGTTCAAATAAAGTATCAGTGCTTTAGAAAAGTTAAATTATTTTCTCTAAGTAATTGAAAAAGTGTTAGTCTTTATTGTAAATAGTAACATCATCATCACCTATACAATAACAACACTTTTCAGACTTTTAACATTGTTTTCTATATATTAGTACATATAAAAATATATATGCATATATATATTTACATCTTGTTCCTATTTTTTGTCATATAAATGTATAGGGCATCAGAGAAGTGAGGAACTATCAGGGCATAAAATTGTATACCTTGTCAGAAGCAGTCATTGGCAAGACATGTTTGTTTCGTTACTTTTCTTTGTTACAAGGGAGGGTTCAGTGAGAGAGAGGGATGTAATTTTCATTATGTTAAAAAAAAAGCATCAATAAAACTTTTTTTTAAAAAGGCATGTGGAAGGGGGCAGAGCCAAGATGGCAGAGTGAAAGCAGTGACTTGCTTGAGCTCTCCTCCAAACCCCTCCAATTACTCATAAAAAATGTCTCTAAACAAATTCTGAAGCAGCAGAACCCACAAAAAGACAGAGTGAAACAAATTTCTAGCCCAAGACAACCTGGATGGTTGATCAGAAAGGTATATCACGTGCTGGGCTGAGAGCACAGCGCAGCGCGGCATGGGCGCGCAGGCAGCAAACCTGGAGCAGGCCTCAGAGGACTGAATCGCGGGCAGCTGTGGAGGTTTCCAGACTCCTCAATCCAGGGATGCCAAAGACAACTTAGAAGGTCAGTGGGAAAAGTCTGTTTCTGTCGGTGCTGAGACAGGAAGGAGGGGTTTCAGTTCCATTGGAGAGGTGGGGGGAGTTGCTGCTTCCCGAGCTGCCGGCCCACAGACTTAGAGGGAATCCAGTGGCTGATCAAAGAGGGACTGCAGGGACCTCTTTGCCAGTGCTGAGGCAGGAATCTCTTGCTTTGCCCATGTTTGGATCTGGGTCACAGTTCTGGGCGGCGGTGCTGGGGTGATGAGGAGCGCTGGCATGGTGGAGCTTGGAGTGGCTGTGGAAAGGAACCCTTCCTCATAGTTACAGGACAGAAAGGAATACTTGTGGTCACAGGCCAGGAAAGGAGTAAACACCTCACCCCTTATCATACCACCTTGGAAGAACTGAAAATTTACAGGTCCCTACAAGTATCTCTGAAAACAGCTATACAAACCCCTGAAGCTTGGGACAGTACATTCTCCACATTGGAAGCAGATTCGTACCTTAACAAAGTTTAAAACTCAAGTAATTGGCCAGGATCATGAACAAGCAGCGCAAAAAGAGTCAGACATAGAATCTTTTTTTGATAACAAAGAAGATCAAAATATACAACCAGAAGAAGACAACAAAGTCAAAGCTCCTACATCCAAAGCCTCCAAGAAAAATATGAATCAGTCCCAGGCCTTGGAAGAGCTCAAAAGGGATTTTGAGAAGCAAGTAAGGGAAGTAGAGGAAAAACTGGAAGAGAAATGAGAGTGATGCAAGAAAATCATGAAAAACAAGTCAACAGCTTGCTAAAGGAGACCCAAAAAAATACTGAAGAAAATAACACCTTAAAAAATAGCCTAACCCAAATGGCAAAAGAGGTCCAAAAAGCCAATGAGGAGAAGAATGCCCTAAAAAGCAAAATTGGCCAAATGGAAAAGGAAGTCCAAAAGCTTACTGAAGAAAATACTTCCTTAAAAATTAGAATAGAGCAATTGGAAGCTAGTGACTTTATGAGAAATCATGACACAGTAGAACAAATCCAAAAGAATGAAAAATTAGAAAACAATGTGAAATATCTCATTGGAAAAACAACTGACCTGGAAAATAGATCCAGGGGAGAGAATTTAAAAATTATTGGACTATCTGAAAGCCATGATCAAAAAAAGAGCCTAGACATCATCTTTCAAGAAATTATCAAGGAAAACTGCCCTGATATATTAGAACCAGAGGGCAAAATAGAAATTGAAAGAATCCACAGATCTCCTCCTGAAAGAGATCCCCAAAGGAAAACTCCTAGGAATATTATAGCCAAATTCCAGAGTTCCCAGGTCAAGGAGAAAATATTACAAGCTGCCAGAAGGAAACAGTTCAAGTACTGTGGAAACACAATCAGGATAACACAAGATTTAGCAGCTTCTACATTAAAGGACCGCAGGGCATGGAATATAATATTCCGGAGGGCAAAGGAGATAGGATTACAACCAAGAATCACCTACCCAGCAAAACTGAGTATAATCCTTCAGGGGAAAAAATGGTCATTCAGTGAAATAGAGGACTTTCAAGCATTCTTGATGAAAAGACCAGAGTTCAATAGAAAATTTGACTTTCAAATACAGGACTCAAGTGGAACATGAAGAGGTAAACAGGAAAGAGAAATCATAAGAGACTTATTAAGATTGAACTGTTTACATTCCTGCATGGAAAGATGATATTTATAACTCATGAGACCTTTGTCAGTATTAGGGTAGTTGGAGGAAAAAAATTATATGTATGTATATCTAGATAGATAGATAGAGGGCACAGGGTGAGTTGAAGATTAAGGGGTCATATCTGGAGAATAAAATTAAGAGATGAGAGAGGATTATACTGGAGAAGAAGAAAGGGAGAGGTAGAATGGGGTAAATTATCTCACAAAAAAAACAGGAAAAGTCTCTTACAGTGGAGGGGAAACGGGGAAGGTGAGAGGGAATGATGAATCTTATTCTCATAGGATTTGGCTTAAGGAGGAATAACATACACTCAATTGGGTATGGAAATCTCTTACCCTACAGGAAAATAGGGGGAGAAGGGGACAAGAGAGCAGGGGGATGATAGAGAGGAGGCAGATTGGGAAAGGGTAATCAGGTAAATACTTCTGAGGAGGGACAGGGTCAAAAGAAAGAATAGAATAAATGGGAGGGCAGGATAGGATTAAGGGAAATAGAGTTAGTGTTTCACAACATGTCTACTATGGACGTGTTTTGCATAACTGCACATGTACAACCTATATTGAGTTGCTTGCCTTTTCAATGAGGGTGGGTGGGGAGGGAGGAAGAGAGAAAATTTGAAACCTAAAGTTTTAAAAACATATGTTTAAAAAAAATGTTTTCACATGCTACTGGGAAATAAGAAATACAGGAAATGGGGTACAGAAGTCTGTCCTGCCCTACAGGAAAATAGAAGGGGAAGGGGATAAGAGAAGGGGAGAGAGATAGAAGAGAGGACAGACTAGGGGAAGGGATATTCAGAATGCATGCCATCTTGGGGTGGGGAGGGGGAGATGGGTGAAAATTTGGAATTCAAAAACTTGTGGGGGTGAATGTTGAGAATTAAAAATAAATTTATATTAAAAAAATTAAAAAATAAAAAAAGGGAAACAAAAAAAGGCATATGGAAAAGTATTTGGCATATAAATGTGCTAAGATTGAGGCACAGAAAGAGTAGGCAGCCACCTCAAACACAACATGCAACAAAGGAAGTCATATTTCTTATAATTATGGCTTAAAATCTCCAATTGCCCATAAACTATAGAGTTTCAATTTTCACACCTTGTGTAGGTTGCCCAAGTTACTAGTACCGATTTTTCATTTAAATACATGGCAGGTTTCTGTTTTGTTTTGTTTTGCCACTTTTAAATGTCTTACAAACTAGAATTCTAAAAGGGTTAGTCTCATGATATTCTAATGTTAATTTTAAGAAAAAATAGAAGACTTTATTAGCAATAAGTCTATACTATTTTAAGAATGTAAGTGGCTCAAAATAATGCAAAATCATCATAATTAGGAAGTTGGGTATTATAGGGATATAACTGATTTTTTGTTATGGCTTTGTATTTGTGGTTCTTTTAGATGACCACTTTCAGGAATATTTTATTTTTTATTGATTATTTTTTAAATGTTATTTTTACCTCCAGTTACATGTCAGGAAATTTTAACATTCATTTTTACAAGGTTCAGGAATATTCTCATGACATTTGCACCACTATTAATTTTTCCATTGTGTAATATGATATCTGCATCTATTTCTTTTATTATACTGTCAAACTGAAGGGATACAACTTTTCAGAAGCTACCAAGATGAACTGTATTACACACAAGTTGACTTTTCAGAGCAAATAAATTATTTTCAGAACATCCTAAGAATGCTTATTACATAATGTAAACAGATGATTTGGGTCACCATGCAACTTAAATGGTGTTAATTAAATGCACATGAATGCACCATGAATCTGTGGTTTCATCCATGTAGGAAATTCTGGGATAACTCATCTGTAACTTGCAGTCTTAGAAAATCACCAAGGGCATTGTGAAATTAAGGGACTTACCTAAGGTCACACAGCCAGTATATGACAATGTTGGGTGTTGTACTTGGGTCTTCTTGACTGCAAGTCCCTTTCACTGTCTGTTCCATGGTGCTGTCTATCACTTTGCAATAGCAAGTAGGTCATAAATTTTTGCTTAATTTAACTATTAAATTGAACACTTCTTCCTTTAAGGTAGTCTAATTGATCATTTATGGTTTCCTTATGAAAGAAAACTTAAGAAAGAGATGAGATCCTGGTCTAGTAGAGGAGAGACTCCTTTGCTACCCGTTTAAGCAAATAAGGACCCCTGGCCCTTTATGACTTTTGTGCTAACCAGTACCAACATTTGCTTTTCTCTCAGTAACAAGCAGTAAATAAAGATCTTCCATGGAAAGGCTCCTTTGGAATGAGTTTTTAAAAGCAAAGCAGCTTACAACTGTGACATCACACCATTTCTCGTTGGATTTGTTTCATGATGCAGCAGCCTTTTATTAAAGGCATTTGATTTATGAAATCAGGGGATGGTAGGAAGAAAATAGGGCCACGTCTTAGTATCCTCTCCTGCCTCCCCACCACAAGCTCACAGTTAGACAAATACTTTTATTTCTGGATTCTTTAACAGAGTGTAATTTTGAAATGGCAACTTGGTAGAAATCTAGAGCCAATCAATCAATCGGTAGGGCTTACCATATGCCAAGTGTTGTGCTAAAGAGACAAAATACAGAACTAGTCCTTGCCCTGAGAAACTCACATTCTTACAAAGACAATACGTACA